CCACGACGGTAAGTCCTAATAATTAATAGTGGAGGAGAAAATCGATCTTATTAAATTACAAATAAATTCTTATCACTACTACTTAGTTCCTTTATTTTTTACAGTTGATAGTTTGTGCGTGCTTTATGTTCATTTGGCGTTATTAGTGGCATTTGCTTAGTTAAAATATGTGCCTTTTAACTTTACTCAAACATTCCTGCAGCTTCTTTGTCAAAAAAATTATTTAATTCAGAACGTAGTAACTTTTTTGCGACCCTATAAGACTTATTCCATTTTAAAAGTATGTCTGGTAATTAAGTTTATTGTAAATATATATTTAATAATTTATATATGGACGTAGTTAAGCAGAAAACGTCCAACCCACAAATTGTTAAAAATGAGTTCTTTACACCAGCGAGCATATAATTTCTTGCTTTATAATATGCAGAAACCGTCCAAGTGAAAACATTACATACTCTTTTAATAATCGTCAAAGTTCTAACCCACAAACTAGGTTAACTGAGATTTTCATTGATAATAAAAAATCCAAGTGGGTTGAATTTTTTCTAAAAAATGTATGTCGATCTAAGTAATCGTGTTAAAAGAGTGGTTAAAACAGGCTAAGTGGGTTGGATCACTTTAACGCTCCATGCGATAACAAAACTACTGTGCATTTTTTTGTGTTAAAAACATCCAAGTGAATTGGATGTTTTCTACTTATAAATTTCGGTATACTTGTTAAAAATAAGAGTATAATCAGAAATCGTCCAAACCACTTGGTATCATTTTACGTTTACTATTTCATTAATATGTTAAAAGTAGTTTGAATCTTCAATTTCGGTCGATAATAAAATTTTATTACGGGAATGTGCCCTATTAATGTTTAAAACGTGCCTTGTGCGTATAAACCCTGGAACTTGGTCGATAAAAATTAATTTATTATAGGTACTCATCTTAAGCATAGTAATCACTTTCCTTTAGTTTTAAGTAAATGTGCCTATGTATTGATAAACATTTCTTTTTATTCAGTTGTGTCTGATTTTTCTGACTGTTCGGGTTTAAAAATACTTATTTAATAATAATTATGTCGAAAAGAAGCAAATACATGTGTGAGCTAGCAAAACTTATGGAAAACCAAACAAATAGTGTAATGTCTAGCGTGGAATTTGATTCAAATATTACCAATGTTGAGGTAAGTCGGAAATTTTTTATTAAAAAATAACTATATGTTGTTTACTGATTATTTTTTCGTGGTTTTCGGCCAGATTGAAGAAATAACACAAAACTCTCTTTTTTTTTACGACGTTTCAATTTATTTTGTTACTAAATCTTAAAAAAAAAATAAAGAAAATAGAAGAAAATAGAGTTTTGTGGTATTTCTTTAATCTGGCCGAAAATCACGAAAAAATAATCAGTTTATAAGACACGGCTTCTAAAAGTTTATGTTGTTTACTAAATTTTTAAAATAAATGCATTTTATACATCATTACATAATTTAAATATATTGTAGAATATGGATGATACCAATGTGACAGAATTCTACCGTCACAGCGAACCATCGTCATCCAATAGTCGTATTCGTGAAATGGTTTTAAACGAGAAAACTGGATGTTTTGAATCAGCTTCTACCATAGATTCTGTTGATGATTATGATGTAAGTATTAAATCTTTGTACCTATACTGTTTAGTAAAATGCTTTATAATGCTATTCGCTATATTATTTCTATTTAATGAAAACTAAACTTTGATGTACCTATTGTTACAATCTAAAAGAAAAAATACAACTTCCTTAGGTACACACAATTTTGTAAACACATATGTATTAATCTTATTATACCAATGTTAAATTGATACCTATTATTATGATCATCAATTATTATTGATTAAAGTAATTATACAATAATGTAAAGCATATGAAAATTATTTTTCGATGAGTACCTATAGTAAACTTTATGAAAAAGATTAATTTGAATGAATTGAATTTGTTTTATTTTTTGGTACCTGGTAATTGATTAAAAGTTAACTTCTTTAATTAAAATAGACGCTTTCTATAATTTTTTGAAATTTTTATTTAAAATATTATCTAATAATACCTACCTTTTTATTCTTACAGAATATGTCAATAAGTGATGTCTTTAGTAGCGGTTCCTCTGATATGTTTATACCATCGTCACATGAAGAGAGTTCCGATAACAATGAAAGTTGTGATGATAATCCATTTTTAGCCAGTACATCAGGTCGTCCAAAGAAGGGTAGAAAAAAGAAATTTGCAATGACGCGAGCAACATCAAAGATTAATAGGAACAAAAATGAATCTTACATTGACTACAAAGGAAAATTGAAAGCTGCTAAAGAATTTCAATATGACTACAATTGTAACTGCCCGATGAAATGTTCTGAGTTGATTTCTACAGAGTCACGAAAACAAGAATTTGATCGTTTTTGGAGTCTTGGGTCTTATAATGCCCAAACTATCTTTATTGCCAATAATATCCACGAAATGCCGAAAAAAAGAATGTATGGAAGAAACACTGAAAGACGTCTGTATTCCAGACAATATTCCTTACTTATAGGCAAATGTTTATCAATAGTCTTAGAATAACTCCGTCAAGAGTAACAACAGCTCTGAGAAAGGTAAACAATCGTGCTCCAATTCTTGATCAAAGAGGTAGAAAACAAGGTGGTTTAAACAAAGTCCCTGAAAATAAAATTCAGGAAATAATCAACCAGATCAATAAACTGCCTAAGTACATATCGCACTACTGTCGTGAAAACACGTCTGCATTATTTTTACCGGCACATCTCTCATTATTAAAGATTTATGATCTATACAAATCTGAAGTTCAAAACCCTGTGAAATTTGGTATTTATAAGAGGATTTTTTACGAAAAATTTAATTTGAGATTTAATGTTCCCAAGAAGGACACATGCCAGGTATGTGATTCATTTAAAATAAAACTACAAAATGAAACGGATGATCATAAAAAGCAACTTTTACAAATTGAACTCGACACTCATCAGGATTTGGCCCAAAAATCACGAGAAACATTAAAGGCAGATTTAAAACGAGCTAAAGATGAGGATAATGTAGAGTGTTTAACATACGATCTTCAAAAAACTCTACCTTTACCCAAAATTCCAACCAATGTAATATATTATAAGAGGCAAGTTTGCTTGTATAATCTCGGTGTATTTTCAGGCAAACGTAATAAGAGTTATTCCTATGTATGGCTTGAAGGAACTGCTGGAAGAGGAGCTCAGGAGGTTGGTTCCTGTATTGTAAAATATTTAGAAAACATAGAAAGTACTGTTGAACATCTTATATTGTGGTCTGATTCTTGTGGAGGCCAGAACCGTAATATTAAAATAACACTCCTCATGGCCAGTCTTCTTCAAACCAGCCATAATATAAAAACTATAACATTTAAATTCCTGATTTCCGGCCATAGTTTTCTACCAAATGATAAAGATTTTGGGGATATAGAATGTCAACTCAAACGTCAAGAACGAATATATACACCTTTAGACTATATAAATATAATAAATTCATGTCGTAAAAAGTCTCCAATAACAGCTGCACAAATGAAAAAGGAATGGTTTTTGAGTACCCACCAGCTCGAGAAGGCCACAATAAACAGAAAAGTTGGCACCAATAAAGAAAAAATAAATTGGTTGGAGACAAAACAAATTATATTAACAAAAGAAAATCCTTACCACATCTTTATGAAACCTAGTTATTTTGGCGATGAAAGTGTATGTTTGGATATTGAGCGACGAGGACGATTAAATACAGAGAGCTTTTCGGCGCTGCTTATGCAACTCTGGCCCAATGGTAAACCCCTGTCAGAGGATAAAATTAACGATATTAAAAGCTATTTACATCTAATTCCTTCAGACGCTAAACCGTTTTATGAAAATTTTACAAGTGCTAATGTAGTCGAAGACGTTGATGGATTTAATGTTCCAGTTCTAGATTTTGAGGTAGATACCCACAATAATTAAAACTTTTTTTAAATTTACATTTACATAAGAAAATCATTGTAATTTTGTTTCTTTGGATCATTAAAATTTTTATAAAAATATGACATTATTTATTTATCTGAAAGATTCCAACCCACATAAGTATGTTTTATCGAAATTTTTTTCGGATTTTTGTTTTTTGTTAAAAACGTCCAACCTAAAATTTTCAAAATAACTTCATTGAAACTTACATTTAAAAGAAATTACAAACGAGGTGCCTACGAGATGAATATCATTATCTTAAAATCATTGCCAGGCGAATAAATTATGCATAGTTTAGCTAGGGCACACTAAAATCTTTTAAACTCAATTTCCCAACAATCACTTTTTTTGGGTTGGACGTTTTCTGCTTAACTACGTCCATATATATATATATATATATATATATATATATATATATATATATATATATATATATATATATATATATAAATTATCACAACAAAATTCACATAAAGAAACCTCTAGATAATAAACTGAAAAATAGAAAGCTTTCGAGCTGGACAAAAAAAATTTATTTTAAATATTTATTTAAGCATCGTATACCAACCACATTTTTCTGTGGGTTATACCACTTTTTAATAATCTCATGAGTATGTCTCACATATTATGAGTTTTGCGTCATACTTGATCTTGTTTGTTGTCAACCAGGTAATAATTTCACATAAATAAACACATTTAACACAAGTTGATGTGCTTGAAAATTTAAATTTTGTACTACTAAGAATGTCTTAAGAAGCATCCTCACATCTCTTACGACTCTAAGCAACGCAGCCTCATTGATTTTGTGTGCCTCAAACCTCAAACACTGCTCATCGTTTGTTGGTTACAAAATTAATACATGTCGATTGTTCAGCTCTAAAGCTCATGCTCCTTTTTCTTAGTTTCCGTATATATATATATAGCACTTGCTAATCTTTATGTTATTGGAATCTACGCTTTTAAATGGTCGTTTTATATCTAGTAGTTAATTGTTGTTTATGTATTTTTTTATTTTTTAGATCGAGAACTATTCGAAAACCCCCCACACATATTCGCCATTGCCGATGCTTCGCATAAAGTGATGAAACAGCAAGGAAAAGATACTTGTATCGTCATCAGCGGAGAATCCGGCTCTGGAAAGACAGAAGCGTCTAAAATCATAATGAAGTACATTGCTGCAGTGACAAATCAAGGTAGGAGAAACAATTTTTATATGATTTAACTAAAATTATTTAAATATTTATGGTTGTCTAGTTATGTTACCTCAGTAAAATGTTATTTATGTATTTCAGAAAGATTAAGCAGCCCCAGTAAGTATTTAAGCTGCAGTATATTATGTTTGTGGAAATGTTTTTCGTGTTTTTGACTAACTTTTGAAAGGTATAGGTGTTGAGGTTATGTAAATATTCACTTAATTTTTCTTTCCTATAACTCTTCCAATAAAAATGTTATTAAACACCTATTTGGTGACAGATGTATTCTCAATGTTATTACTAACTATTCTTGTTGGTTTTTTACATAAAGTTTTAGATAGTAACATATTTTCCAATGTTTTTATCTCTATTCTCTATTTGCATCTCTATTTTACAATTCCCTGTATAAGCTTTCAGTTTCTTTAAACATCCCTATCGATTCTATTTATCCACTTATCCAAATTCTGTTTCTTTTTGTCTCCTTCTTCAATTATATTTTGTTTAATTTTACCTAATGTGTAAATCCCATTAACAACATTAGATATGCGGACGACACTGTGATCTTAGCCAAAATCATTGAAGATCTTCAGAGACTAGTGACCAGAATAGCAGAGTATGGAAAAGAGTATGGTCTAACAATGAATGTCAAGAAGACGAAATTTATGGGAATATCGAAAACTCAAAGAAATAACAAGAATCTTTTAATAAACGGAGCCAACGTCGAACAAGTGGACAAATATGCATATCTGGGAACAATTATTAACCCCACAAATGATTACAGTCAGGAAATCGAAATCAGAATAGAAAAGGCTACAGCAAATTTTAACAAAATGAGAAGAGTGCTGTGTACCAGGGATTTAAAACTGCAATGACCTTGAATGCAACATCAATGAAAAAACTGGAATAATTCGAGCTGTGGGTATATAGAAGAATTCTGAAACTATCGTGGACAGAAAACGTCACAAACAAAGAGATTCTGAGAAGGATGAATAAAGAACCGGAAATTTTAAATGCAATTAAAACAAGAAAATTAGTATATCGTGGACATATTACACATGGAGATAAATACACCTTGCTCCAACTGATTATGCAGGGAAAGATCCAAGGAAAGAGAAGCATAGGGAGGCGTAGAATGCCATGGCTGCGCAACTTGAGAGAGTGGTACGGATGTACATCAAATGAACTTTTCAGAACAGCCGTCTGAAAAGTCCGAATAGCTATGATGATTGCCGACTTCCGCCGCGGAGATGGCACTTGTAGAAGAAGAATGTGTAAATATATGCCTTTCTTTTTACTAATTCTCTTTGTTTCAATACAGTCATTATTAATAAACCAGTGGTTTCCATTTCTGGATATCCTTCATTCTTTACAAATTTTGCTGTTCTAGACACTTGAAACTTGGGCCTCAGTGTATGGCATAGTTTTATACTTCAAATTACTACAAATATACTTCAAGTTTGATTTTCATTTGTATTTTTAAACCTAAGCAATATTCACAATTCCAAATTTGTTTAGGACAGTGTATATGTAGATAACATTAACCATGAAAATACCTCAATATAAAAAAGAAGCTGTGATTTTTCAAGCTTAGCAAACTAACAGATATTTGGACTAAATAGACGCCCAACATTTTTCAAACCGCAACCTAGAAACTAATTTGTGATTGTTGATCAACACTTCATATTAAAAAACTCACACTATTATTTTAGGTGTTGTACCGTCTGCTGAAAAAGGTTTCTTCGTGTATTTTTAACAAAAAAAAAAACAGTTAATACCATAACAAAATGTACAATACTATATTATATATTTCGACGTTATAAAAATACTATTGACGTTTTAGGAGGACAAAAAGAAATCGAAAGAGTCAAAGATGTTCTCATCCAGTCTAACTCCATCCTAGAAGCTTTCGGTAACGCTAAAACGAACAGGAATGACAACTCATCCAGATTCGGCAAATATATGGATATCCATTTTGACTTTAAAGGTGATCCGATCGGTGGCCACATTAATAAATATCTGCTAGAAAAATCTCGAGTCATCCATCAGCAGCAGGGTGAGAGAAACTTCCATTGTTTTTATCAGGTGGGTTTTTATCCATTAACTTTTTTATTATATTGTTCCAATGTTTGAGAGTTGAAATCCGGGTTGCGTTCTTTCACAATTACTGTTTACTCTTTATTCAGGAGAATTACTCAAGAAAACACTAAATGGGCCACAGTAGAACAACATACAGCGTAATAGAACTTGGTAGTAACAGAAAACTAAACTGTATAAACAGGAGTATTCTTACAAGACAGGTAGAGCGATATCAATAAAATGGAGAAATGGGACTGAAAGTTGAGCTGGTAGAAGAAGAATCTCGTGGCTAAAGAATCTTTGGCTTCTTTTGGCTTTTGTATTTCGCATCCTGAGGAACTCACATTTGTCTCCACTAGTTAAATAAAGCAGACGTAGGACATAAAAGTTGACCTGATAGAAGAAGAACCTCGTGGACTCCTATCTACCTTTTTCTAATTTACCTAGTGCTTCTTAACGACTCATATGTGTCTGCTCTAGTTAAGTCTAGGTACCAAACGCAACATTAACCCATTAACGCCGAGAAAAAAATTTAACTTTCATAAAGAAAGGTGTAAAATTAACTTACGTTTGGAAAAAAATAAATTTTTATTTCAAAATATACAAAAAACATGCTGTCACCATATGGGCCCTGTAGGCGTTCCAGGGTATACACAAAATATTATCTGGTGTTTGTACGACATTTCACAAAACATTCTAAACATAAACCAACATCGCACTTGATACACATTGTACGCCCTTTGCTTATACAATTGAACCCGGCACATCTTCTTTTCCCTTCTGGTACTACTACTACGTAATGGTTTAGCCCATCAAATCTGACATCGTCTCCAACACGGCTGTTACTTCCAGCCGCTTTAAGCATTCGACCTGGACCTTTAGTTGTCGTTTTGTAATTTGCCAAATATGTCTAAAAAACACAGTAACATGTAAGACTACGTAAATATGTAGTAAATTATAACATTACCTGAGCAATACTTCGCCTAAACTCCAACTGGCTGATATTTCTGCCACTTTTGCGGTAGAGAATCCAAGCACTTTGTATACATACATCAATAAGATATGTGAAAATCGACCAGTACCACTTTTTTGATCTTACACCAATACGATAACTGAAACAATGTATGTTATTATATTATTATAATCAATATACTTTACATGCCAAGATTCATTTGCATCCATCAGATCGGTGCCTCCCATGTTTTTATTGTATTTGGAAATTACATCCGGACGTGGTATAGGTACGTTTCTTTTATCTTTCCTTGAAAATCTCTCTACAAATTTCACTGGAGTAACCCCAAAACACGTATTGGCCACTGTTACCACATTATTGTCCATCCACCTCACATAAAGAATACCATCGTTCGTTTCAAGAGTTGAAGTGTAGGTGCCTCGAGATTCTTTGGCCATAATCTTTTTAGGCGGTACAGGAACTTCTTTTTGAATTCGGTCATCCCTAATTGTTCCAGTTGCTCCATACCCATTTGCTTTCAAAGTACAAAGGAGGTTAGCACCAGTGAATAAGTTGTCTATAAAGAAGTTATAGCATAGATCTTTTTTGGCTCCTAAATTTTCAATCATGTGTATAAGTGCAGGTTTTCCAAATATAGCATCATAACCTTGTTTCTTTATTATACTTTTTCCTTGATAAATTTCGAAATTTATCAGGTATCCACTATTGGTGTTTAAACACCATACTTTATACCAGAACCTTATAGGTTTTCCGCGTATAAACTGTTTACATCCATGCCTTCCAAAGTATTTTATCATGGACTCGTCATACGAAAGGTTTTGTCCGGGTATAAAATACTCTAGAAACTTTTGTTTTAAGTGATCGACTATAGGAAGTAATTTATAGATTTTGTCATTGTAGTCAATACTTTCGTTACTAGCAAAATGCAAACATCGGCAAATTTGTAAAAATCGGCCGCGTCTCATAGATTCTGCAACTAGAACATTTTTCATGTCTTTCGAGTTTTCCCAATAGCTTCGTTTTGTTGGCAATACATTGTAACCACTTACAATTAGAATAACGATGGAAACTTTTATCTCTTCTACAGACAAATTTGGATCCGGTAGATTTTTGAGAAGTAAATAATTTCTTGTTTCCTTTATTATCTCTTGAATAAGTACTTTTGTAAAAAAACAACTCAAATAATTGAACTGAACTCAAACTTTCATGTGACGAGTAAGTCGGTGTTGGAAAGGGATAATTAGGATAAACAAAATCCGCCTCAATGATTTCACTTTTCTCTGATTTAGTTACTATCGTCAGTCCTGAATTTGCTTTAGCGTCACTTTGTACCACAGTAGGTAATTGCTCATTTGCTAAATCTTCAGATGTGTCCTCCACTCTCGTACCATTTGAAAATACAACTTCAACTGGAACTAACAGTCGACGACTACTCAAATTTTCAACAGTTCCACCCTCATCTTCATCCCCTGAATCCTCATCGGTCAGATCCTGACAGTCAGGTGGCTGTATGTATATTATATAAGTGACTTCGTTGTCAGATTCGTAGGCGATATCTAACGCTTCTTGAAGAGTTATTCCTCTGAAACTAAAATTATCGTATAAAACTATAGGCTAATAAATATTGTCCGTAGTACGCCTATTGGTCCCATATGGTGACAGTGACGTTTACGACGAAATTATGAAAAACTAGAACCATATATTTAGAAAATCAACAAACAGTATTGCGAAAATACGTTTTTTTAAATAAAATCGATCGCCTAGATATACACTAAAATAAATAAGATCGACATAATTTAACTTACCGTAACGGGATGTCCATATTTTCGTCGTCGAAAATAATCTGTCCAGTAAACAATAGCACAACCTCTCACTCGCGAGTATAAGTAACTGATCTTGTTTTTTTCAGGGGCTTTCAAATTAAATTTGTCAGTTAGTACACGCACATAAATAGAGGGCGGTTTTGTGTCCCCATATGTGACCCGTAGGCGTTAATGGGTTAAGTCCATTTTTAGTAAAATCAAGTACAAAATTGATGAACAAAACAAAAGTGTTATTTACAAATTGTCTTGTGATGATTGTAACATGACTTATGTTGGTAGAACAATGAGGACCTTGGCTCAAAGAATCAAAGAACATCTCAATAACACAGATAAATCAAACTTTGGACATCACATTAAATTTAATTTTCTTCTTTTTTCCTTCCTCCTTCCTTTTCTCCTACCAAAAACAGTAAAATTTTACATATCATCCCAAATAATGCACCTTTTAGACGACCTTGAGATATCTAAATAACTGAAACTTAAGCCTGATTGTTGCTTACACACACAATAATCTCAATTGCAATTATACACCTCTTTTTAAATTATTGTGGGAGACTTTAGAAAAAGAAGAGTGAACTAGTGCAATCTTAAAACTATGTTCTTTATATATTTATTTTTAAATTTGTTTTAAATGTCATTACGAATTTATAACAATTATTTGTAATCAATCATGTGACTAGTTATTCTTCATTGAAACAAGAAAAATGTCCGATTTTTACTTAAAATTCTTACAATTTCAATCAAGAGATACAATTTTTTTTTAAGGGGACTTCTGACTACAGAAGCTCCCAAAAAGAATACAAAACTAAAACTTATTCTTCTGCTGTGATTGAACAACAATTCCCTACCAAAGATCAAGCTATTGTAGTCCCAGCCATTGCAAACCTAAAACTTCAAGATTATCTGATTCCAATAGGAATGTTGATGGAGCTCAAAAATATTCTATTTTCGTCACGGCTTTCTAAGAACAGAGTGTGTATGTACCTTGCAAACAAAAACGTTGTTGAAAATTTTATGAATAATTATAGGGTTTATAGAAATTCATAACCAACAAGTCCAAGCACGCAAACTAGTCACTCCAGCCCAAAGACTAATTTTGTCAAACGTTTGTCCACCATTCCGCATGCTTTACCAACCCAAAAAATTGAAAAATTGGGCCTTAAAACCAATGTCTCCCATGTTATTTCTCAAGATAAGGGCCGGTTTGCCGGAATTCAGCCACGTTTATAGTTTTATACGACAATTTTCTATTACACCACCGCTTGACTCAATACCTGAATCCATATTAATTAATCATGATAACACCAACTATATGATTTTTTTGTCACACCGTTCCTTGGTATGTTTTTCATGTAAAAGGCAAGGCCATACTGCAGCAAATGTCACAGCTACACACAATCCACACCTCCCCAAATACTTCCAACTAACCCCTCAAAAACTCCAACCGCACAACCAATCATCAATATAGATACAACCTAGTCTACACAAAATAGCTCAAAACGCAGTTTAGAAGAAATAGCCACACCTCCTCCAGTGTAAGATGCTCATTCAGAAAACCCAAGTCTAGACTCGTTTGTTAAGCCAAATGATGCTTTATCCAAAAAAATGAAAAAAAAAAGTAAGAAAAAGCAACCAACTCACATACTCATGGAACCAGCCAAGGCATTCATCTCAGAGCAAAACCCTCCATTTATTCTTGATTTTAATCAAATATCTGATCTATTTGAAAATGTTAACAGCAATATACCCTTATTTCAAACAAAGATCCATTAAATCTAGATGTACAAAAATAAGAAAGAAACTACTGATACATTTACAGATGACCTACTCGGATACTGATGCATCAGAGACTGAAAGTGAGTTATCTCAGGGACCGAGTCATTAACTTCTGTAACAATCTCAAGTTTCAGATTTTATTTATTATAAACGGGCCTCTCGTCAATTTTGCAATGGAACAATAACGGTTTTTACAGCAACCTTCCGATGTTCCAAATAATTCTGGCCAGATACAACAATCCAGATATAATTTGCCTCTAGGAAACTAATTTCAAAAATGAAAATATACAAGCTTTAAAACAATTTAAAAATTACTGCAAAAATCTAACTAGCCAAAAAAAAGCCAGTTGCTTAGTAGCTATCTTTGTAAAAAAGTCAATTGAAACCACTGTAATTTCTCTCCAAACTAATCTAGAAGCAATTTGCATTAAACTTAACTCAAGTCCAAATATATATGTTTGTAACTTATACCTACCTTCATCAATGAAAGTAGACTCAGAAGCATTACAACAAATTCCCCAACCCAGACTTATTTTGGGTGATTTTAATGCCCACAACTTTTTATGGGGCTCTTCTTTTATAAATGCTACGGGAAGACTGCTAGAAGAGATATTTAAACACTCCAAACTTTCAGTCTTAAACGACGACAGGCCCACTAGATTTAATATATAAAATATATAAAAAAACTCATTTCATCCTGCTTTCTAAAAAAAAATGTCACAAACACCCCCAACCTAAGACTATGTGATGAGAACCTAAAACGTGTAACGTCAATAAAATTCTTGGGCATGACATTCGAAGAAGCTGGAAACTTCATATAACAAATCTCATCTTATTTTGTCACAAGCGATTAAAGGCCTATTCTCACTATAGTGCAAAATTACTTTAACGTTATTTAAATGGTTCTCACTACAAGTGCTCGGAGTGGGAACGGTCCGTGCCCGGCATCGAACAATCTTTTCAAACAATATTTTCCTAGCCCATGCCTGGCACATTACTTGCACAGTCCTACATAGTGTGAATACTTCAGACGAGTTTCGACAGGCAAAATGGTGCGAAAAAAATTATTTTCACATGATACTGATGAATTTTTAATAGAATTAGTTCGTGAGAGGAGTGAATTATACGATTTTATGAATCGACTGTATGCAAATGCAGCACATAAGTCTCAGGTATGGTGGGATATTGGAGAAAATATTAAAATACGTAAATAAAACACTATATTTTATCTAGGTAATAGACCACTGCCGATAATATTTCAAACAAAAAAAAATAATAGTAGGGTCAAACTAGTTGGAAAAGAAAGATGATATGACACAAATAAAAGAGAAAATAATTTACGGGCGACCTGAGTTAGGAAAATGGAGGGAGTGAGTTTTTTAAGGGCAAAAATGGTTTATTGTGATTTTCTAGAGCAAGTTGAACTACATATCTACTAAAGCAAGTAGAATTACAGAAAAAATCTTTTTGTAGTTAAAGTAACTGGAACCACTATTGATTGGAGCTATAATTTTGATGTGCTTTTCATCTAGGGCTCCTAATGCACTTGGAAAAATTCCACGACAACCAAAATTTTTTGGCAATTTGTTCAAAATCGCATTCTGCTGGTAATTCTGCTAAAATTCGGCAATTGACATTCTATAATATATATAAAATTTTGACTCATTATCCATGAGTTCTTTATACAAGGTATAGTATCCTCTTTCTATTTTTCTTTTCTTAATCATTGGATATATCCAAAACCTCCTTTTTTAACTTTATCTCTCATGTTCTCTTCTTCTTCGGCATCTAAATTAAAAAATGCAATTTTTACTAAAGTTGCCATGGAAAACATTACAACTGCACAACTACCCACCGACACGTCTAACCGACTGCCTGTGCAAAATACCGCTGAAAGCATGCTACGAGCGCGAATAGTGTGAATATTCACCAAAAGCATGGCATGTGCCGGTCAGGTGACGAGCACGGGCCTGGCACGTCTAATGAGAATAGACCTTAAATCTTCAAAAACTGGCCAATAACGAATGGGGTACGGATCGCCAAACACTTTTAATGTTATACAGAACATTAATTAGATCAAAATTAAATTATGGATCGACTGTGTATTCTACAGCCACTAAGACACTGCTAAAAAAACTTGACAGTTTTCACAACCTATCTTTAACGTATTATATCTGGAGCTTTTCTGGAGTGAAGTTGGTGAACCGTCCTTAGAATTCAAAAGACTTTATTTAAGTATAGCATACGCCGCAAAAATCAGGTCTAACTCAAAAAACACTACTATCCAAAATTGTTTTTGACAATTTTTCAAAACATTTCTAGAACCTATTTATGGACGAAAGTTAATTTTTACTTCTACTATTTCAGCTTCTATCTGGAGCAAATGAAGATTTGTTGAAAAGACTGAACATATCCCGTGATACCCACCAGTATTATTACATCAAGCAAGGAAATGCTGCCGTAGTTAACACCATCAACGACAAAAGTGACTACCGTGAAGTCATGGCATCATTGAACACGCTTCAATTCAGCAAACAAGACCAAGATACCCTCTGGAGGGTGGTAGCTGCCATACTACATTTAGGTAACGTTGATTTCGAGAATGACGACGATGATAAGTTGAGACTGAAGAAATCAAAAGGAGTGGATTATGCTGCAGAATTACTTCAGGTAATTTATATATTATCTTAAATACAACTATTGTTGCTTATTTTAAGTTGACATTAATATTAATATTTAGTCTGTATCATTTACATAACACTTTATGCATTGTGTATGATTTTTAGATAAAAAAGAGTGACTTAGAAACAGCCCTTTGTGAAAGAGTGATAGCAGCACGAGGTGACATAATGAGAAAAGAGCACACCGAAACCGAAGCTTCCTTTGGCAAAGACGCTTTTACCAAGGCTGTATACGATCGATTATTCACTTGGATAGTCGATAAAATCAATGCCGCCATAGCTGTAGACAAAAATAACTTGACTAAGACGTACAAAAGTTCGTTGATCGGCGTACTCGATATCTACGGTTTCGAGATCTTCGACAACAATAGTTTTGAACAATTTTGTATCAATTATTGTAACGAAAAGTTGCAGCAGCTGTTTATCGGTAAGTTTTTAAGGATTGATATTTTTTTACTTTCCCTCTTATCTATCTAGTCCAGCTGTCAGAGATTTGACCACTAAAAATCGTACGAACAAGTTGAATTTTGCTGAGAATATCAATTTAAGATTCCAAAAAAGATGCAAAAATTTTACGACTTTAAACCCCGGGCTTCCCGCTAAAACCCCCTCGTAGAGTGGTAAAAACGTAAAAAAATCAATTTACCAAGAATCGGTATGCCGTAGAAAAAAATATTTCAAATAAAAAAGTAGCTGAGACAATTTTGAACAAAAATGTTTCTTAGCACGTTTTACGTAGAACCAACCGTTCTCTCAGAAACAACGCTTGACGCGATCGGTGATTTTAAATGTCAGTTCCGAGCGTGAAATCAATGTTAAATAAAATTTGTATCAACCCGATGGTAACAAATCGATATATTTTGATCAGATTAATTGGTTAAGATAAAAGTGGTTAACTTTTTTGCATCTTTTTTAGCGTTCTAAAATTGTCATTTTCGACAAAATTTAGTTGATGATTTTTAGGGGTCCAATGGCATTTTCGTCTCTGACGGCTGGAGTAATATTGCACTGGGATATGATATTGCGATGTTTTCATATAATTTTGACCTAGTCTACTTCCATATTACTTCTATTCATTAGTCGCTTCGATTCGCATTAGTGCAATGAATAGAGCGGTCCTACCGAGCTTCCGATGGTCAGCTTTCACTTTCGCACTCGTACGTCTGAATTTCACCGGGTATGGGAATTTTTCTGTTAGTAAAGAAAACTTCTTATATTAGTTGGATAAGTGCATAAGGTGTGCCTCAGTCGTTCGAATATAAATAACGATTCTTTGTTATGACAATGATATCGATTTTACGTAGTAAACGAGCTTTTACTCATTACACGCACTACACAATATACAAAAGGATTAGGTACAAAAGATCTAAATAGGTTATGCTGCAAATAGGCTGCTACACTCGTATAGCCTAAGATCCTATAATACAATAAAACATCTCTTCATTTGTTTGGGACATCTTTTCTTTTTTTTTAATGAAAAATTTTCCATTTTTAGATACTTTTCCTGCTTCCCATACTTTATTTCCGATCATTTTATAATTTTATTTCTTTTTCAACTTAATGTTCCATGTTTTTACATGTTGTCTCATCTTAATTACGACCAAATAACTTGTGCAATCAAGGAAAATCCTGGCCACTTCTTAATAATAGGTGGTGACTTCAACGCCAAAATAGGCACTAAGGAAGACCCCTCTGGAATAATATTGGGAAATTTTGGAAGCGAAGGCAGAAATGATAGAGGCAAACAACTACTGACTTTCCTTTTGGAAAACAATCTCTATCAAATGAACAGCTTCTTTAAAAAGAAAAAACACAGAAGATGGACATGGGAAAGTCCTGATGGAAAAACAAGGAACGAAATCGACTATTTCTTAACAAACAAAAAAGAATTATTTAAAGACGTAAATGTGCTAAACCAGTTTAGTACAAGCAGTGATCATAGGTTAGTAAGAGCTAAAATAACGATATCAACCGAAACAGAAAGACTCAAAATGATAAATAAGAAACAACCAAAGAAATGGACAAAATCAACTAACATTCAGGAGTTCGAAAAATATATTGGGAATTCATTGAAAGATACAACAACAGCTGACATCAATATATTGAACAAACAAATAGTCAACACAATGCAACAGGCTCAAACTAAATATTGTCCGACAAGCAAAAAAGATGAAAAACTGAGTCAACCCACGAAAACCCTATAGAACTAAGGCGACAAATGAAAGGAGATAACACTGCAAGCAAAGAAGCGATAAATCAAATAAATAAGACGATCACAAAGGCAATAAGAAAAGACATAAGAAACTACAATGTAGAAAAAACAAAACGGGCAATAGAGAAAAATAAGAACATGAAAGTTTTGAAGAGGAGCATACAAAAGGGAAAAATAGAAATTAACAAACTGAGAAACAGAACTGGAGAAGAAACAACGAACAGAGATGAAATATTAAGAATAGTCGAAGAGTTCTACACAGAGTTATATAGATCAAGAAAAAAAGATAACAATGCGGAACCTCCAATTACACTAAAAACTGGGGTATTAAACCAAGAATCAGATTTAATGCCCAATATAACAAAATCAGAAATCAAAGAAGCCCTGAAGAAAATGAAAAATAATCGAATCCCGGCTGAAGATGGAATAGTATCAGAAGCACTAAAAATTGGAGGGGATATATTACTTGAAAAAATTAAACAACTTTTCAATATCTGCCTTCACAGCGCCAATATTCCAACAGACTGGAACAACGCTACTATGATTCTATTACACAAAGCAGGAGACAAAGCAAATTTAGAGAATTACAGACCGATTAGCCTCCTCAGCCATATATATATATATATATATATATATATATATATATATATATATATATATATATATATATATATATATATATATATATATATATATATATATATATATATATATATAAGTTGTTTACGCGAATACTAGTTAAGAGAATGGAAAGAAAATTAGAGACTTATCAACCAAGGGAACAGGCAGGATTCCGAAAAAGTTACGGAACAAATGACCATCTACAAAGTATACAAACCCTAATAGAGAAAGCAGTGGAATACAATAAACCTCTAGTTCTAATATTTCTCGATTTTCACAAAGCCTTTGACACAGTTGAGCTAAGCAAAATATTACAGGCGCTTAAAGAATGCAGGCTAGATTATAGATATACTAAATTATTATACAAAATATACCTGCAGGCAACAACCACTGTCTACATACTAACAGTAATCGCATAAAAATAGAACGGGGGGTTAGATAAGGAGACCCAATGTCACCTAAACTTTTTAATACGGTGCTAGAACATGCTTTTCAGAATTTGGATTGGATGACTAGGGAATAGGGAATAAGGGAATAAAAATAGATGGAGAATATCTAAACAACTTACGTTTCGCCGATTATATACTTATAATAGCTGAAGATCTAGGTATAGCAAGAGAGATGGTACAGGAACTCGTTGTGGCTACAGAAAATGTAGGTTTAAATATAAATATCTCGAAAACAAAAATCATGACCAATTTGGTGCCCAACCAGAACATCAGTATTGGTGGGAAAGAAATAGAACTCGTAGATAGATATAAATACCTGAGACATAAAATTATGATTGGCAGAGATAACCAGACTCATGAACTGAAGAGAAGAGTCGGCCTTGGGTGGGCAGCATTTGGAAAACTGAGAGAAACTTTTAAAAGTGAGCTGCCCACATGCCTAACGAGAAAGGTATTTGATCAGTGCGTCCTCCCAGTCTTGACGTACGGAGCAGAAACCCTTACCTTAACAAAAGCAGCAGCTACCAAACTGAGAGTCATGCAGAGAAGAATGGAGCGGTCCATGTTAGGAATAACTCTCCGAGACAGAATAACAAACGAAGACATCAGGAGAAGAACCGGAGTGACTGACATCATCGAGAAGATAGCCAGACTAAAATGGAGATGGGCAGGACACATAGCCAGAATGACAGATGGGCGATGGACAAAGAGGTTATTGGAATGGAGGTCAAGGGAAGACAAGAGAAGCGTCGGTCGACCACCTACAAGATGGACTGACGATTTAAGAAGACTCAATAAAAACTGGATAAGAGCGGCGCAAGATAGACGGGGTTGGAAAGATGAGGAAGAGGCCTATGTTCAGCAGTGGACTCTTGAGGCTGGATGATGATGATTTCATCTTAATTCCTTAAACCTCGTCCCCTGTGTAGTTTTATGTAACCTTCATCTGTCATATCTTTAAATTTATTTATAATGTTCTCTTAGTGATGTTTTCCATATTTTAATCCGCATATCTACGATTGATATCTTATACCTAGAGATCACTCGTTTTAGATGTCTTTCATGTCTAACGTCAATTGGATAGGCCACAATTGACGAAATGCCCCTGAAGATGTTCTAGGAAGCGAAAGTACTTGTACAAGATTTAATTAATAAAACTGTGCTCGATATCTGCCTTTTATTAATCAGAAAAGTCTATAATTGCATTATATAATGCAGTTCTTTTCACACTGTCATAGGCTGCTTTGAAGTCAATGAAGAGATGGTGTGTATCTATGTTATATTCTAGTGACTTTTCTAGAATCTGCCTATGTGCTTGAAATTGATGTGTAGTTGACTTTCCAGCAATAAATCCGCATTGATATTGACCAACAATATCCTTTGTAAAATGTTTAAGTCTTTCAAATAATACATTGCAGAAGATTGTATACGCAGGTGCTAACAGACTAATGCCTCTATAGTTCTTAGACTCTAGTTGATCACCCTTTTTATGCAATGGACATATTATTCCCTTCAGCCACTCTTCGGGTACCCATTCATTCTGCCATATACGAACTATTAGTTTACGGATTGCTGAAAAAAAGTTGATCACTACCTTTTTGATACATTTCCGAACAGATTTCATCGATTCCTGGGGCTTAATTGTCTTTGAGTTTTAAGATCGCATTTGACACTTTTTCCCTTGTTGGGTCTTCACTGTGTAGTTGAGGTTATAGATTTTGTTGATTTTCTATGTTGTAACCTCCGTCAATATCGGTTATATTTAGATGTTCGCTGAAATGTTGTGCCCATGTGTTAAGAACTGAGTTTTTATCATTTAGAATTTCACAGTTAGTGTCTTTACAAATTCTTAATCATGGTTTAAATTCTCGACGGCTAGTATTTAAGGATTTGTAGTATCTCCTCGTTTCATTTTTATCGAATACACTTTGTATCTCACTGAGAGTGTTCTGTTCGTATTCCCTTTTCTCTCTTCTAATACGTCTATACTTTTCTCTATTTCTCCGTGTACAACCTGCGTCAATGGTTTTTTGATATGCTGCGTTGTTTCTATTTGTGGCCATTTCGCATTCAAGATCAAACCAATGATTTCTTTTTTCTGATTTGGTTTTGCCCATTATTTCAACGGATTTCTGTAACACAATATCTTGTGTATTTTCCCATAGTTGGTTAATATCTTCTTCTTCTAAGTTTTTGTCCTTATTTGGTCTTCTAGTTACTGTCTGTATACATTTGCAATGTCGGGATCTTTTAGTTTATTAATGTTGATTTTTCTTTCCTTCTCTCGATCTCCTTTTTTATATTGGATATTCTTTCTTTAAATCGTGCTTTAACTAGATGATGATCACTATCTATATTTGCTCCTCTAAAAGACCTAACATCTAATAATTTAGAGCAGTGTCTTGCATCGATGGTTATATGATCTACTTGATTAATCGTTTCATTATCAGGAGATTTCCAAGTTCCTTATGTATATCTTTATGGGGAAATCGTGTCCCAGCTATTCCCATTTTCTTAGACATCGCAAAGTTTATGATTCTGAGACCGTTATCATTAGAGTCTACGTGTAGACTCTTTTTTTCGATGGTGGGCGAAAATATATTGTCTCTTCCGACTTCGGCATTAAAGACTCCTGCTATTATTTTGATGCCATTTTTTGGGCACTTATCATACTCTCGGTCTAGTGCCGTTAGCTTTGAAATCGATTACACTATGTTTGACCTTGCTGCTTACAATAAATCCGTACCAAATTCGTGTCGGGTAGAATGTCCACTGTAGTAAATAATGCAGTTATTTTTTTCCAGGGTGCCTGAGCTAATCCACCTCATTTCCTGTAAAGCAATGATAACTGCTTTGGCATTATTCATTTCTCGTATAGCATATAGCAGAGCCGTGGCTCCAGGCTGATAAACACTTCTTACGTTCCACTTGCAAAATTTTAAATCATTATCCTTATTTCGTTTGCAAGTTTGTCGTAGGTTAGGCAGTCCGGTTTCTTTCTTTGTAGCTCTCATAACAAAAGGTTATGAGACGACCCAACACCGACCCAACTTTCCACCCGGGTTGCTCGGTTTACAGGGGACACCAGCGTGAAGGTGAGAGTCGGATTTGAGTAGAAGAGGCTAATTAGAGTAAACTGGAATCAACTCCATGTTTTCGCATTCTATTCCTTTATCCCCCATTTCTGTGTTTTATGTATTCGGCAAATTCATTGTAGAACTGGTATACATGATGAATGTCACACACTTTTTAAAAATTAAATGAATGCCACCCAATGGACAAAAATTACATTTTTATTTATTCGGTACCTTTGTAGAACTGGTGCTGAAACAGGAGCAAGAGGAATACAACCGGGAAGGTATCGCATGGACCAATATCGAATACTTCAACAATCAGATTATTTGTGATTTGGTCGAAGCACCACACAAGGGAATCATTTCAATTATGGATGACGCTTGCAAGATGACTGCCGAAAAAGTAACTGACGAGATGCTGCTGGAAGCTATGGACAAGAATCTTAAAGGTTAGTAGTTCCTGCGTTAAGTTTTACTATTGGAAATTATATATTTATGCACATTCTAGATATTATCTATTTATATATAATATCTATAACATTAATTATTATAATTTAATATATATTATATTTATACACATTATACACATATGTAATTTATTATATATTAAGACAAACAATTTCGGTAAATGTAACAATCAACGTTATTTTAGGGCGAAACATTAGTTGACTGTAATAATAATGTTCATCAAAAGTATCGAGCCATGAATAAATCTTAATTGTAATAGGTATAGGAATAGCCATTTCTTCGGTTGGAAGGTTGGTCTTGTAGTATATGTCTATGGGTTGGCCACTTCGTCACTTCTACATGTACATAACCCAACTTGTTCTTCTTCTTCTTTTTGGGCTATGTCCTTGACAATTTATTTTGGGGTTGGACACTTTTGTCTTGCCTTTGCAATCAGTGTTTACACTTATATTCATTATCTGTTTGTTTTGAATTATTCTAAATGTATACTTGTATTGGTATATTTATTGAATTCTTCTCAGCCTAAAATATTAGAAAGACAACACAACAAAAGTAAAAAATTTTCTCGCTCGGGGCTAGCCTCCAAGCTTTGCACACACCAAAAATGCCACCAACCGATATAGTAGAAACACCCAGAACTGAAAGAAGGAAGTTAATGGTTTATAATTTAACATTGAAGCTAGAAATAAAGTTACATACAATGTTTATTATTACGTTACAGACGTATCTTAAGAATTTCATGGGTGGATCGTGTGACTAATGTTGAGGTCCTACGTAGAATAGGCAAGGAATGCGAGATTATTAACACCATCAAAGAGCGCAAACTAGAATATCTTGGCCATGTTATGAGGAATGAACAGAGATACGGCTTGTTGCAACTCATTCTTCAGGGCAAGGTATTTGGAAAGAGAGGACCAGGGGAAGAAGAATATCTTAGCTTCAAAACCTGAGAAAGTGGTTTAATACATCGAAAACCGGACTATTCAGAATTGCAGCAAGCAAAGTTAGGATAGCCATGTTGATCGCCAACATCCGGAACGGATAGGCACAGTAAGAAGAAGAAGTAGAAGGGTTTTGATTTAAGCGACGGTCTAATGAGATATGGTTTAAGCCTCCCACTTGGCCACATTCGCAATAAGTGTCCTCTTTGACTTCAATCCGGAATAGATGAAGATGTGCCTATTTTGACTTCCAGCTGGTTATTTTGTGTCTTCCATTTAAGGTTCTTCTGAGAAACCATTCCTAGGTATTTAATTTTATATACCCTTATGTTGGCCTCTTATAACTGATATTTTCGGGCTTTATTTTGATATTACCCTTTGTGAACAAGATAGCTTTGGATTTGTCCACAGAAATGTTCAAATTGTGATGGTCCAGCCAGACCTGACTCCCAGGAATGTGAGGAATTGGCAAACTTCCACAAACCACGTATCTTGATTGACATTCGCATTTAAATAGCAGCTCGGACAGTTTTATATTTCCATCATTTCTTGTTTGCATATTCTAAGCATATTCTTTGCGGCTGTAGTATTCCTGGGAAGGTTGATTAAATGTTCGTTTATTTTTAATATAATATTTATTAAGTGCACTCATTTGACTAGAATTATAACATTGTCAGCATACTCTATAACTTTAACATTTTTTTGGCAACACATTGTGTATTCAGTAGGTATATAGGTTGAATAGCATTGGGCTTAATGAGGATCCCTGTGTGAGTCACTGCTAGTGGTATTTGGGCCATGTACTAAACCAGACTTATCCTTGACAAACAGTTCTGGTTCTTATGATATTTATTAATGAAATATTATTAAATATATGAAATAAATCAAATAAATAAATTTATGTATGAAATAAATCTCGCTTTTTAAATAACCTCATAGTAAGAAGTCCAGGAAACCTAAATCGAGAAATCTTGCTGGCTGTTCAATAAAAACCCTTCAAACAGTACTTTCTGAGTATCTGCTATCATTTTCGAATATATCTGTCAAAACGGGATCAACTGTGTCCTCTAACAATTCTAAATATGCTTCTCTGTTGAAATTTTGTTGTAAAAATAATGCCCCAACAATATGATTCCCATAAATTCCCGTCCATAAGTTTAATATCAATGGCTATTGGGTATGGATTTCGTGGAAAACTCTAGTATTTTTATCCGCCCAATTTTATCGATTTACAGAACCATTTAGAAAAAAGAATATTCATTCGACAAATAAATATTAAATGGAAAGTTTGAATTACTATTTATTTTCTCACTCATAATCTCTGATTTATGCAATTTTGCATTGTGCAAGAGAAATTAACATATGGGCTTTAAAACTGAAGCGGATCGATAAATGTACACATAGTGAAGCGGCCGAGGGGGCTCTTAGAAGACCTAAGCGGACTCTAAAATAGTGTGTGAATGCCGAGCAGATCTCGACAGACTTGCGGAACATAACAGTGTCAAACTTTTGTATGTCACTAGAGAATACACAGAATGAGAGAACTGATGAATTGGTCAGAAGAGTTACAAAGTTACAAAATACTTCCCGCTCAGAGTCTGCCGTAGAAGTGTCCAAAAGCACTACCCACGATATGAAAAAAGCCTGGATCCACACACGCAACCCCTCGAATACAACATAGATCTTACTAGGAGAGTATACCCGATCAAGCAAGCTGACACAGTCAACCCTATCTTGCATGTGTGTCGGACATTAGATCGTAGGCGGCACACAATTTTTGGAAACTACCAAGAGACTCTAAAAACATAGGGTACTTATCCACTAGACCTGTACAAGCTAGTACGGAGTTCCAGAATTCTGGAATGAGTATCCTGAATGAATGGAAGAGGTACAATATGTCAATTGGGTGCAGTGTGACCGGTTTATAACAGATGTCTCCGAAAAAAGATGTCATATTTATTAGCGTATCCTCACCGTTTCCTAAATGTTTTTTAATAAATTACATACTTGAGAATGAATATCAGTCACGATATCTACATCATTTTCCGCATCTGTTCCACATGCAAAATTTACTCAGAATTATTTGTTGTAGTGTTCAATATATCGAACAACATTAAATACAATTCATATACTGTAATTGGCTAGCTATTCCGTTTTACTAGTCATTACAAATATCTGTAATCTATTAAGCAATAACAAGTTTTATTCTAATAATAACCGTATTTCTATTCTTAGGTCACAAACATTATGTCTCAAGACAAACAAAAACAACCGAGAAAAACCTCAGACATAAGGTAGATTTCCGTGTAACTCACTACGCTGGCGATGTGACGTACTGCATCAACGGTTTTCTGGACAAAAACAAAGATACGCTCTTCCAAGACTTTAAACGTTTGTTATACAATTCCAAGGATCCAAATATAAAGGAAATGTGGCCCGAAGGGGCACAGCATATCTCAGAAGTAAGTAAATATTGAGAAAGTAAAATCGTCGATTCACGATACAAATTTAATTTTTTTTAGATAACCAAGAGACCTCCCACGGCTGGAACCCTTTTCAAGAACTCCATGCAAGCTTTAGTCCAGAACCTCCAAAGCAAGGAACCACACTATGTCAGATGCATTAAACCGAACGAAATCAAATCTGCGTCAGCCTTCGATGAAGAAAGAGTGAGACATCAAGTTAGTTACTTAGGTCTCGTAGAAAACGTTCGGGTGAGAAGAGCCGGTTTCGCATACAGACAACGATATGACAGATTCCTTAAGAGATACAAAATGATCTCGCAGTTCACCTGGCCCAATTTCAGAGCCGGTTCCGACAAAGAAGCCTGTAAAGTCATCATGGACGAGAACAAGTACACGGATGATGTCAAATACGGTAAAACGAAAATTTTCATCCGCACACCACAAACTTTGTTTGCTTTGGAGATGGCTAGGAACAACCTTATTCCTGGCATCGTTACTCTAATCCAAAAAACTTGGAGAGGTTGGATGGCACGTCAACAGTACAAGAGATTGAAGGCTGCGATGACGATATTGAGGGCATATCGCAAGATGAAGTTGAGAGAATACGTTTGTACTTTGCAGAGTAAATTTAAAAACGCCAAGAAAATGAAAGATTATGGTAAAAGCATTATGTGGCCGGCTCCGCCGCTGTCATTGAGAGAAACTACGAAAATTTTAAGAGGTATTTACAACAAGTAAGTATATGTACAGTAATTCTAAATATTTAGTATTTATATTATATTATAGACAATTTCTATTATCAAAACTCTTAATTTTATACTACATGTGTCTTGAGTATTGATTTGGAATATCTGATTTGCTAATTATACTTAGAGTTAAGTCTTATTCTATGAGAACTCGCTCCACTGTTTTTAGAGTATTTTCATTTTATTGAAAATATCGTCCATGTCCAGAAAATTTATTTAATGACAAAAAAATAATCACCTACATATATTTATCCGATTTTAATAATTTTTGGACGTTGTACGAAAATTCGAAAAATGTTTAATCAAACTTATTTAATTTATACAGATAATGAGATCACTAAGTCTTTCTCTACAAATCAGTTTTTCAGTCAAAGCATCTGCGGTTTCATAACGAGATAATATTTTTCTTTGACTTATGTACAGTTTTAGGTCTTTTTCTTCTTCGTGCGACTAGGATTACTCCTGTTTGTCTGCCTCTTATTCTGTTTCAGTCGTTGTTGACTGTACATTATCTTTCCACCTTTTTGGCGGCCTTCCAATGGGTCTTCTGCTATACGGTTTGTTGTTTTTACAGATGTTTGCTAATCTATCTGGTCCCATTCGGTTTACATGTTCGTTCCAGTTTTTTTTCTTGTTTTATCCTTCTGTTAATATTTTGAATTTTGCATTGTTCTCGTATACTTCTGTTGGTTTGTTTCTTAATGATATTCCCGTTATTGGTCTTAATACTTTCATTACGATATTGTTGATTTGTTGTTTCGTCTTTCTTATATCGGTCCTTGTCTCCGCTGTATATGTTAGGATTAGTCTTACTGTTGTCTTGTATACTCTCATTTTACTTTCCGTGGTCAAATATTTGTTTCTCCATATGGTTTCTCGGAGGCAACCACTTACTCTTGCCGCTTTTGATACTTGTTTTGTGGTCTCTGTTCTTATATCCCTATCACTAGTAATCTCTACTCCTAGATAATTGAATTTCATTACTTGTTCTACAATTTTGCCGTCTATTTCTAGTTTGCATCTACGTGGCTCTTTACTGATCACTATACATTAAGTCTTTTATACTGATATTCTCATGTTAAGTTTGTTTGCTGTGATATTGAAGATGTGGAGCTGCCTTTGTAGGACATCTTCGTTATCAACAATTAGTACTGCATCATCGCCATAGCATAGTATCGTGATTTTATGCCATCCCATGTGGTATCCGTGTCGTTTTCGTACTTCGTTAATTATTTGATTCATTAACCTATTGAATAGCAATGGGCTGAGTGAGTCTCCTTGGCGAATTCCTCCTTTTAGTTCTATGCATTCTGCTTCTCCTGTTGGCAGGAGAAAACTTATAAAACTTTGGTCTTGTTGTTCTTGTTAATTTCATTAATTGTCCTTATTATCTGATGGTCTATTTGTTCAGCTTGTTCTTCCGGAAGCCTTGTTGTTCATCTGCCATGTTTTTTTCCTCGATTTTATCTTTTATGACTGCCGTTAACAATTTTAAAGTTCTTTTTCTTCTTCCTACTTTATAAACAGGCTTAATGCCTGTTTTACTTCGATTTTTAGCGTCAATTGACGTTGTCTGACCATCTTTTCCTCGGTTGGTCCCAATGATCTTCTTCCATTTGGCGATTTGTCTCTTGCTATTCGTACTATTTTATTTTCTGTCATTCTTTCGATGTGGTGATTCTATTCTTTTTTTTTTTCTTTTGGTCCACGCGTTTATTTCCTCTATGCCACATCTCGCTCGTATTTCCTCACTTCTTACTCTGTCTCTTAGACATAAGTTTTAAATTTTAAAGTTTTAGGTACATATTGCAAATATTGTAAAATATTTACTTGTGTTGTAGATGGAGGTGCCGCATGATTTTGAACCGTATCCCTAGAAACGAATGGGCGCAGATGAGGCTGAAAGTTATCGCCGCCAGTAATCTGATTAACAAACGACCGCACTATGGCGTCAATCGCAAATGGGAAGGCAACTACCTCACATCTCATTTGGAAAACAACCAATATACAGTATATAATGAAGCAGTGAACAACCTAAGGAACACTAAACACTTTAATAATGTTCTCTTCTCCTCTTTTGTTACCAAATTCAACAAATTTAACAAAGTTGCTGAGAGAGTCATGCTAGTTACCGATCAGTATGTTTTCAAGTTAGATACTCAAAAGTTTAGAAACATGAAAGAGGGCGTGGCGATCGGCGAATTGACTGGTATCAGTGTTAGTCCAGGACAAGACCAGTTGATAGTTCTTCACTGCCCAGGAGGTAACGATTTGGTGGTGTCGTTGCACTGTGATAGACAAGAGGACAGGATCGGTGAATGCATCGGTGTAATATGTAACAGATATTACCAGTAAGTTTCTTTATTCAATCTACCACTAAATATATAATTTATGAATTGTGGAATTTTACCAAATTTTCCATGGAGATTGGGTGACATTCGGTTCTTCGATGGCCTTAAATGATCGAATTTTTTAAAACTCCCACATTTTTTTTATTTCTCAAAGTGAAATTGAAATCATCAAACTTTAAATAGAAACACATTACTTTTAGTATTCATTTTGAAAAACTGTATTAAATGCTGGAAGTATTATTGAGAAAACAGTTTAAAAAAAATCTATTGAAATATAAATATTTCCTTTTTATAACAAATAGTGCAAAACATATTTTCACCTTCCCTATCTTTTAGTTGATTGTTGCTTCCAATCCAACTTCTTCGAAGATTTGATTTTTCCGTTGCTACTTATGGCATTTTGACAAAAATAATAAAATGACTTTTTCTACACACTATAGACAATAACTTGCAATCAAAAAAGTTCAACAACCGACGATTGATTTAAAACTTATTATTGATATAATAATTTAAGATATATTTTTTTTTTTTCATATACTAATTTATAAAGTAGAAAGTATTGTAATATACTAATATAATCTGATACCTGTAGTGATACAACCCATTGTTTCGGGGTACAACAACAAAGGAGCTTAAGAGCCGAATAAATACTTTCACATTTTATTTTCACAACTTCAAACTATATCGGACTGAGGTCACAGAGATATGGAGTCAATCGTAATACCATCTTTCTCGGTCAAAGTTTCGATGTTATACTTGTCGTATATATCTGCATAACTGTTTGCAACATCCAATAGTTCTGATTTTATATAATCTTTAAAAAATATTATCCTTCTCGTGTAACCATTCTTGAATTTGATATTTGTTCCCGGAGCTTTTTGGGAATTTTTGTTTGCATGCATGATATGGAGCATTATCCATTACTAAAACATTTAACTCACCCTTCGGGAGGTTTGCTATTAGTTTATTTTTAAACCAATCTTCGAAAGACTCGCCGTTTATTTCGTCATGGTAGTTGCCTCAATCTTTTTTTTTTGCTGAAAATTCACATTCTGAATTTGGTACAAAACTTCTATAGGATCCAACATGTAACAAGACGAATCTTTTACCTCTTTGTTTTGAATCTTTTAGACCAGTAGTCAAGCCTTCTAAAAATGTAACCATATAACTGGTTATGGTTGAATTCGTTCATATCTTATTTACTGTATGTCCGATATTTACTCAACTTTCATTCAAATAGAAAATATTGTATCCTTGCGATCTATAATTCTGTATTTTTCTGAGAAATTTATGCCTCCATTTCTTATGTCAGGAGCCTCCATCATTACTGCTTTCTTTCATCTTTTTTCATAAACAAAATAAACAAAGCCTATCTCTCGCAATAGTTCTGTAAACTAACGGCATCCAGGATAGCTTTGATTGTGGGAGGTATGTTCTTTAAGAAATATTCCATGTGGACAAGTCTTCTCAATTGGCTCCTCATATTGTCATCGTGGGTAAACTCCCGATTGGTTTCCTTCTTGGTCCGTCTACGTGGGTTTTAAGGAAATTTGGGTAACTCTCCATTATGATCATATCCTTCCTGACGAATTTTCCAGACTGTCCTGCCGCTAACACCCAGCGCTATACTTGTTCTATAAACAATTTTTGTTGGAATCCGATCAGAATTTATTTTTATTGTTTATATCAACATATTCAAAATAATTTGTCCAATACAAATCCTTCGAGACATTCCTTGTTTGAAACTGTTCGCCTCTAAATGCTCTATGTTTTTGACACATTAGATAAAAAAAAGTTTATCAATAAATTGCGCTTATTTTTTAATCCGGTTAACATCCCTTCTCGAATGCAAACACAAAACTATTAAACCGATTATACAAACTGCCATTCGTCAGTAAGCTATTCTCTTGTTTATTAATTTAATACAATACCCATTCGGATAACAATTAGTAGATACTCATCAGGAAAAGTCTAAATGGGTATTTAATTACAAAAATACTGAAATTTCTATTTAATTATTGTTTACATACCAATGGGCATTTATCAGATGTTCACCTCTAAAATCATTGATTTTCTTTTGTAGATAATGAAATATCTGTATCATTATTATATTTACAGCACTAGTAACAATCAATTTGATAATTGAAAAATCTTGATAGTTTTTTATCATCCGGTAGTTCATCAATTTCCGTATTTGTGAATCAGTTTTATCTGGTTCGGTTTCAAAAGGTCTCCAAACGCCCATTTATTAAATATGACAAAAATAGATGTAAGAAGTAATGGAGTGTTTCAAGTTTGAATGCAAATAGTACAATATTATTATTAATATCTACCCATTATCGTTTTACTCGCATCTGAAGTCTGCTCTGCCGCGACAAGGCCGACGATGAACTCGCAACAGCGCAGCGTTTTTTTTTTTTCATTTGAATTTGCATTATCCGTAAGAGCTAACGCTGAAATCTTCTCGTTCTCGTGAATATGAGTATAGTTATTGAGCAAATTAAACATCATATTGAATTTCACAACACCCAGTATGTACCTTATAATTATTTCATTTCTGCTTCTAGGATTAAAAACGCTGACCTGCCTGTGAAAGTATCAAAGACTATATCCTGTAGCTTGGGCAACAAACAACGACTAATCAACATTCAAGTATCAGCAGCTGAGCAGCAGGCGACATTTAAAAAGGATGGTCACAACATCTTGTACGTTCTGCCTTCCACGTTTTCAATTCTTGAAAACGGCAATAACCATATTAAGCAATAGACTGAGGTCTTACGCCGAAGAGTGATATCAATTTTATAGATTTAGGTTTATTCTACTTAATATTTTTTAGTTGAATTGAGTTTCTACCGATTTGGGTCTAATGGTGGAGAAATAACAACAATTTCAAGCCGAAAAGGGGTGCAATCGGTTTGAATAGTGAATTAATATTGCATGCTAAGACAATTTAAAGTTGGTCATCATAAAAGTTAAACAGAAAAGAAGATGCCATGAAATGAAAAATAAATCACTGCAGTAAAGTGAAGAGGTTTAAACGGAAATCAAATAGAACTGATGCAAATCTAATATTTTTTATTTGAAAATTGCTTCGGGCATCTTGTTCAGCAGGTTTGGAAAATATTTATTAATACTTTTGTTACAGATCGGTAGAAACTTTTGTAAAAACTGTGTCATAGTAAGTTTTTCGTTTTTAACACTTTTATTATTGATTGTTGCTTTTCTGTTATGTCTCTATGTTGGGATTAGGGACAAAAAATTTATTTTATTTTCTTTCAAGTATTAAATTCAGTGTTTGGAAAGCTCACGTACGTAAAATATAAATCAACGAAGACAAGAGTCGTAATCTAAACATCTAAAATTCAAACACTAGAACTAATAGCTCCAGCTGGCAGAGTTTGTCCTTTAGATAGCGTTTAGCAACCAATCGAAATATTTATAGGAATGTAATTTGTTACTTTAATTTTTGAGAATATGTTTTTGTCATAGATTCTAAGATTATTTAATCATTTTTTTGCTTACGTGATCTTTCTATACACTGACTTGACTTAAGTAAGTTTATTAATTTATTATCTATAGCAATAGATATTCTTAATAAAAATAATGCTTTGCAATATTTTTGAAAAACGCCTCTTTTTGTTACTGTTTTATCTCTTATGTACTTATACATACATAAAAATCGTTAGGTGCCTTTTTAATGAAGAGAAAGTGGTCAAAAAGTTTCATATAAATGTACTTGTTAGAATTGAAATCTTTTTGGGTTATTTTTAGCTTAAAATCATGAAAGTTTAAACAATTTTATTAGTTATTGAAATACAAGAACAGTTTATCAATGAAAAAAATATAATAATACTGCAAAATATTTTAGGTAGGACCAAATCCGAAACTGACCTTGAAGAAAACACTACAAAGAATTTGAAAAAGAGACTATTTGACGGGCCTTTTTGAAATCAAGTTTCCCCTTTACTGTACATGTTTTAGGTATGAGATATGTGCTTAAGATGTCCAAATTAATGCTGGGAGATACTGTTTTAGTTGTCAATTTCATTTACATACCTACGCCTCTTATCTTTCAGTAGAACCTTCCTTACAAAGTCTTCTGGAAAGTGCATATTTAACTTTTGGAAACAATTGATAATCTCACGGCGCTAAGTCAGACTAGTAAAACGAATGGAGTGATACCTGGATATGCTACTTCGCCTAAAATACTTTTTTGACCTTCAGGAATTAACACGTTCGCTGCCGTGAGACATAAATGTGTCTCATGTAGTTTTCGATAACAGCCTCGTGATAGACCTTAGTTGTCTCGGTAGTAGTTCTGCATTTTAGCCGCGTGAGCCTCAGTTATTGTCTCAGTCCTATATGAGTTATGAAGGACTGAAGGATCACGGCTGCAAATGTTTAAAACTGTTTGGTTTTTACATCTGTGAACCATAAGTGGGTACTCGTGGCCTGAAATATACGTAGATAATTAAACGAAATTATTTAGAAAGAACGTGTTTATTAAGTGAAATACAACATCGACGTCTGTTGTTGATACCAACGTCTTCCCAGGAATGTTGACGATTGTCAAAACATTCCGCGTATGCTGATAAACATCAAAGCCTAAAAGACTGCCGACGATTTCCTGTTTGAATTTGGTAATGGAAATTTTTTCATTGTCTACTACTTGATGTAAAATATGTGCACTCACTAATGCACTACATCAAGAAGCACAATGACCAGCTATCTCTCTGCGTAATGAGGTTTTTGTAATTCCATATTATTCCCAGCTCTTAGTAACTCATCAGTGTGTTTTGTGGTTCTGACAATGTTTCTGAAAAACGAGGGAAGATGAGCGAGCACAGTCGAAGTAGAGAAAGACAACAAAACGGTGTCTAGACGATATCAAAGCAACATTGGGGGAAGCTGTGACCAAATAGTACAAAACAGAGAAAAGTGGAGAACTTGTGGGGAGTTCAGGAGTAGATGCAGATAGGCTATAGAAGAATAAGAACCTTCTTAGCAAGACTGGAACAGATCCGATAGTTTCCCGAGACGGCATACACTAGACTCGGACAGCAATGAGAACACGAGTCGGTGACACACAGCATTTCATTTTTGGATAGGACAATTTTTTTTTTAAATAAAACATTTGGAAGTTTTCTAGGATAATAAAACGTCTTTGATAAAAAGTAAGTTGGCTCGAGGGACCGCTTTTTTGTAATATGGCAATCAACGTGTTAAGTGAAATAGTGTATGGAGTTTTGATAATTCCATGAAATATTGTATTTTTCCTTAGAAGATTAGGAAAAATTTCTTGTCTTGACATTTTTATACCGTACGTGGTATTTTTTTTAAAACATTTTATAGTTTTTTCTGATTGTCCCTTACCATTTCCTGTTTTTTTTTTGTTTTTGCCACGTTTTTATATATTTTCTCCCTTCTGGATTTTCTTCTTTTTCGTTCTTAACTTGGTTTATTACTTAATCTTTCTGTTGTTTTAGATCTTCCTAGTGTCTCTTAATTTTTTGGTTTTATATATAGCTTATAAAGTTATAAATTTTATAACTGCAAATGTTACTCATTTTAAACTGCAGTTCTCTCTGTTCTCTGATTAATAAGCAGACACTTTTGAAGCCACTTTTTCTATTCAGTATTTTATATCTAAATATTGAGATACATATATAATATATGTCAAGTTCTTGTATCAATATTTTTTATACTGTTCATTTTTGTACAAAACTCAAAAATATTGAAACACGTAAAACTAGATAAGATATCGTATCGTATTGGGATCAATATTTTAATTAAAAAACAATAAATCATCATCGTAAATATTTAGTTACTAATCAGTGCCTCTTGTCAGTGGTGTCGCCACCGGTTGATGCATGGTTTGAATTATCCATCTATTGCAAAACCAATTTTCTGAGTATTTACAAATATTTAATATATAATATCGATAATCGTATGAATTACTTAAAGCCTACGCCAAATCTAGTAACTCATGCGGCTACACAAAACTGACCGATGTCATTATAATAAAACTAAAATATTCTTACTAAGGTCAGCGTTTGGTGTTTAACTGAATTCTAAGATGACTTTTGTTACATAGTACTGAATGGAATAATATAAAAGTATTTCAAAATTAAAGTTATAAGATAGATAGCAAATATATTCAAATACTGTTATGAAATATATACCATTGAAATCACTTTGCCTGGAGATGATTAAAAATTAACGCACATATTTAACAGAACAGGCAATCATTGTGAAAACTACATGTTTGTCAAAGTATGATGATTATTATTGATAAAAAATCCTAATATTGATGATATGCTAGAAAGTTTAAAGCATGCTTTCATATGGACATGTCTGTCATAATGAGGCTTTGGATAACTTTATACAATGAAAACCGTGATGTATATTTTTTTTTATATTATTGCATTTATTAAGGTTTTTTAAAATAATTAATTCTAGAAGAAGATGTAATTGTGATCATATTTTTATTAATAGATAGTATAAATACTAAAAAACGTAATTTAGCGTCCCAAAAATAGAAATGCCCTTAGATAGTTGATTGTAGAAGTATATATTTTGCTATTATTCATTTTTAAAGGCTTTTATAGAGCGCAAGTTTAAAGTTTTTTTTAGTTTTGGGACAATTTAGAAGTCATATTTAACACACAAAGTACTTATCAAATTATTTTGTATGATTTCGTAATTTATTAATGCCATATATCGCTTTTCGATACAAATTAAACATATCTTTTCCTGTTTTATAAATTGTCATTTCTTCTGTTCTCTCAAACGAACCATCTACATAATCATTCCTTCTTTACCAAAACAGGTTAGGCACTTATTTTCTATATTGGAGTTTTCTAGTCTTTAACGAAATCAATTTTCTTGTACTCAAAATAGTCATATAATTCGTACATCTTACCTTATATTTTCATTTGCTTCTTTGATTTAATTCGCAAGTTAATTATTTTCTTTACTATGTCAGTCTTACGTATTGCATTCAAATATTGAACAATATCTTTAGATGTTTATCATTTTCTAGCTAAGAGTTTGAAGTGAACAATCTTTTTAAACGAAACCTTTTTTAAATCTCATTTTCAATGAAATAAAATTTTATCAATCCATGTTTTTGGTAGTAATTATATATTGTATTGATGATATGTTCAAAATAAAAACCATGAATAAAATTGAACAAGCAACTGTCCATTTATGCAAATTGTTATACTTATTTTAGTGTACTTATATATTTCTCTATGCATTTTTCATTCAATTTTTTTTTGTTAAAGTCCTTCCACATATTTGTTTGGAAGTTACTTCAGCAGTTTAGAGGTAAACCTGGTAAAAGTATAAGAAAATTTGAAATTAATTTAATAATTAATTATTAAAACATTTAATAAAAATGTTTAACACAAATAATATATTTTTTATATTACATCCACATATACATTAAATTTTACTTGAATGTATGTTTACCTCTAAATTTAAAATATTTGTTTTCTGTACACTCAAGTAACGTTGTAAAAGAAAACAAAAATTTTATAATTCCTTGTGGCATTTTATAGATTTTTTTCTACATATAAGTCAAAAAGTGCTTTCGATGTATTTTATATAAACGTTTTGAGAAGTTGTTTATATATAGTGCCATTATTTATATATATATATTTGTATATTGATTGTACCTGTTAGGAGCATATATTATTAAATAGCTAACATGTGCCTTAATAAAAGTAATTATAGTGTATTTGTGTTTTATTTGGATATTTTTAAAATTTTAATTATTTGGTTTTATTCAAGGAGCATCGAGTTAAGAGTAATAAAACTGTACAAATTTTCAACAAAACTTTTTGGTGAATAGTCTGATTCTTTTGAATAGTCTAATGATTTTGGTGAACTTACTTTAGTCCAATTCCATTTCTATGAATTTCAATTATTACAAATAAAACTACAGTTCCAAAACATTATTAATTCCAAAATTCATTTAACATGCCATGACAGAGAGATAGGAAATTCATTTAACATGGTAGATATATAGCAAGAAGGTTGAAAAACGCATTTAACACAGATAAGATACACCAGAAGGCTATGAAACTAGACACTGAATTAACGTTTGTTTGAAAATACTTCGTTAATGACGCTAATTACAATACAATAACATCGTGCTGTTCATAATTCATATTTCTTAGGAGGAAACCGAGAAATATTTCTTCTCCTTTCGATGAAATTTCTGTTTATTGCTTCCTATTCCACACCTTAGACTGGAAAGTCAAAAAACCTTCCTGTCGGAGGGTAGCAGTGACTTTCATTAATAAGTTACTGCTATCCTCAGGCACAGTAGACGGAACGATAAGAAACGCTCTGTGTTTAACAGGTCAGGCCCAACTCTTCAGATATCCGGGCATTTCCCGGTTTGAGGACGAGGGCAACCTGATAGAGATCTACGGAGTTAGACTCCTCTTTCAAAGTTTGGTCACCTACTTGGGAGTTCAATTACAAATGAACCTCAATTGGGACGCGGAACTAAATCTCACCCTAAACATAGTAAGAAGAAGGGCTAGACTTCTAGGAGCTCTGTCAGACAAATCTTGGAATACACAGAGTAACACTCTACTACACACCAACAAAACCTAGATTGGACCGATTATTAAATACAGGGCTGTTCTTTACTCCGCACTGAACAACCGCCAAATAAACTTCATCATAGCCACAGAACGCAAAATTCTAAGAAAGATTATAAGGAAACGTGTAGGCTATATTCGTCGGCAATATTCCTCCAACTCGCAAATATACCTACTATAGAGAGTAGAATCCGAATTCTCGGCAAGAGATACGTCCTACGAACTATCACAAGCTCCAACATCAGAGTCAAGGAGGTCCTACAAACATCTTGCCAACCGCCTAGGACACATACTCACCAGGCATCTCGCAAATAAAATTCCCTTCCTCCCGGCCAAACTTCTCAGTTTGGCTGAAAACGAACTTACTGATGAGTATTTCAACACCCTAGAAGCGCAGATTCTAACAATCTGCAAGCCAAAAACGCTCAACTGAAAGAGCCGTTCCCAAATGTATAGCTGGTAACATGCAAAGGTACCCCTCAGTGCGGCATGGCTGACAACCTTCCTTATTCACTCTCACACTGACTGACTACATTGCTTCTTAGCAAACCACTCATCTTCCCAATCTCTCTTTAAACGAAGTTAAAACAACGTTACACTCACCTGCCAAGTTAAAATGCATAGGAAATAATCCTGGACCAGCTTATGATTGGATAATCCCAAGCAGAGCTTTACCAGCAAAAAGGTTGTGGTAGTGATTAAGGCATGTACCAAAATAAGTGAAATAGGGAAAGTATTATTTATGGCTCGGGTAAGGGATGGCGCTACCAGTCTCGCTGTAATATGCACTACGATCCAGCTCTATTGATTCGGCAGTAGAGAAATATATAGTATACCGAAACAACCTAATTTTATACAGACTTTTATTCTTCGACACATTTGACCCCAAAATGTACCTAATTTGGTATATTTTTTCTCTCAAGTTACAAAGGTAAATTTTAAGAGAAATTACACTATATTCGGAACATTTAAAAAAGCTGAATTGAATATGACAGACTGCGAGAAAACCTGAGAAATGTAATGGTTAGATTAAGACCTTCTTAGAGTGCCGTCTCCCTACGGAGGTTGGCAATCATAATGACTATTTTTATTTTAGAACTTACTGCTCTAAACAAATCAATCGATCTGCATTGGTACCAATCACGTAGATTCTTTAACCATTAGTTCTACCTTCGGCCAACAGATCTTCTTCCTTGAATTAAAGACTAGACTTCTAGACCTAGATTAAGACAGTACCATCAATCATATCATAATATATAATTGGGGATACCATATAGAGGATGACTTCTGACAGGTTTAAAGTACCTTTCCCGGTACACTACTTGTCCACGAGTGATGGGATAAAGTACTACAGAGCTGCAGTTACACATGATAAATAAACAGGTCTAAAACTACAGCAGGTGTGGGTGAGGAAATCTCAAGTATTGTTGGAAAGGTAAACATTATCTGGCTTTAAAACCCTGCGTGGGTTCTAGCCTCCTCAAGAATTTCTCTCTAGTCGTCCTTATCCATCGCCTTCCTCTGCCTAGCACGTATTCCCATATTTCTCATGTCTTCATCGATGTTATCAAGGAACCTTGTTCTGGGTCTTCCTCTTCTCTGACCAATGGGTCTATCAAGGAGCGTTTTTCTAGCTGGGTCATTTTGTTTCATCCGCATTCAATGCCATATCCACTTCATACGTCCTATCTTAATATGTTTTACGATGTAATCTGGTTAAATACATGGCAAACTGTATAGTGCACGGACATGCGAGTAGTAATAATTGTGACGAAGAAAACAGATACAGCTGTGAAAAACATTTTCCTATTCTTAGGAAAGATACTAATGTTACAAAAATACAAACAGCAATAAATGTTAATATATTAAACATATGCAGTCACACAAGACTATGAAGAAGAAAAATCCTTATCATAATTTAGAAAAAGTATTCGCATCTGCAAAGAAATACTGTCAATGTTTTCATGGGAGATTTTAATGCAAGATTGGAGGAGAGCAGGAAAATGTGGTCTAGGAATACGAAATAAAAGGAGAAATATTAGCATCTTTTTGTGTAGAGAAGCAACTAGTAATAACAAATACAATTTTCAAACCAAATCGTCATCTTTACATCTAGAGACTACCAGCAAATACGACTGACTGAATGATTCTTAACCAAATAGACTTCCGTAGGTATGTATAAATAAAAGATACAGAAGCTTAGTATTATCAGTCACAACATATCCAAGTTCAGATGTACCAACAGATCAAAATATTTTGGTAGAAGAAATAAGACAGATTGAAAGGGGTTCTTCTTCTTCTTAAAGTGCCCTCTCCTCAATGGAGGTTGGCTATACAATTTTAAACTCTTCTCTATCTTCAGCTGTTCAAAATTTAGCCCTGTCCATTGTCGGATGTTTCTGAGCCATGATAGTCTTTTCCTTCCTAGGCCTCTCTTTCCCTCGATTTTTCCTTTCACTATAAGTTGGGCATATTGGTACTTATTATTTCTCAGTATGTGGCCTAGGTATGTTTTTCTTACTTTTACTGTGTTAAAAAGTTATCTTTCCTTGCCTATTCTATGCAGCACTTCTTCGTTTGAGGTATGCGATGTCCATGAAATTTTGAGTATTCTCCGGTAGATCCACATTTCAAAGGCCTCCAATTTATTTACGGTTGATGTTTTAAGGGTCCACGTTTCAACTGCATATAGAAGAGTCGACCAGACGTAGCATTTTGATAAACGTAGGCGAATTTCGAGTTTTATTCGAGAATCACAAAGCAGTTTTTTTATTTTTTCGAAAGATTTTCTAGCCTGTTCTATTCTCGATCTTATTTCTTGATCAGGCTGCTATCGATCCAACATCCCAGGTACTTAAATCTATTGACCTGTTCTAAGATGTGCCCATTTATTGTGCAAGGTTGAGGTACGTTTTGGTTTTTTCGGATTGACATCACTTTGGTTTTTTAATGTTTATTTTCATACCAAATTGCTCACAGGTCGAGTTGGTCCTGTCGATGAGTCGTTGTAGACCTGAGTCGGAATCCGCAATTAACACTGTATCATCGGCGTATCTGATACTGTTGATATTTACGCTATTCACCTTGACTCCATCCTTGGAATCCTCCAATGCTTCTTTAAATAGAAACTCGGAGTAAAGATTAAACAGCAGAGGCGACAGAACACATCCCTGTCTAACTCCCCTCCTAATTTCTACTTCTGCGGATGTGGAACCTTCGATCCTAACTCTGGCTTTTTGGTTCCAGTACAAGTTTTTTAAGAATTTGATGTCTTTTCCATCTAAACCGACTTCTTGCAAACGTTCTAATAGTAGGTCGTGTCTTACTCTATCAAATGCTTTTTCGAAGTCTATAAAGCATGTAAATATATATGAAAGGGGTTACAGGGACTAATAAGCAATCAGTTACTATTGATACAAAAAATATGTCAAATGATACCGCAAACCAAGAAATAACTAGTGTATTAGAATAAAAACTAAAATTGACATCAGGCAAAGAGGAATGTACTGATGACCAGACTTATTAAAAATAAAGATATTAAAGATAAAAAGAAATACTGGGGCTCGTGGACCAAAGAAGAGAAGTCAGAAATAAAAATAAAAAAGGATCGACACAATAATCAGGCAGAAAACACAATTTCATAGTAAAGACTATAATGAATTTAAGCACTATAAAAACAAACAAGATATATTTCATCTGCACTAGAAATTAACAACAAAGGATTGCGTATGTTACTTTGATAGAGGCTGTGGACTCATCTGGCATATCAGCTTTATTACAATGCGGACGAACTGCACATTTTGCCTTGAAATTACCATTACCCATTCAAATGAATGACACTAAATTGCAACATCACCAAAAATACCGTAAATTTTTTGAGAGTGAACAGATCAAAGTGCAATTGTGTTGTCGAAGCAGTTATTAGATATTGGAATTAATAAAGATCCTATTGATACCTCGAACGGATTCATTTCATTACATTAAAGATTTGTGTTACTTATGATTATGAACAGACTTGAGAGAGAAGCTTATTGGATTTCTATAATTGTAAGTTGTGTATCGTGATTCTAAGGTATTACGAAGTTCGCCGGGTCAGCTAGTTTGATATATTTTAAAGTAGGTACTCGAACTTGTTACAAAATATAAAGAAATCTCGGAGGCTATTTAAATAATAAAAAATAAGACTTACATTTTTGTTTTATTTTTAAAAATATATTTAAATAAGAGAGACATAATTATTATCAGTAATTTGGGTTAAATGATCATATTTAGACGTCAAAGTTGTACAGTTAATATATTTACATATAACAATGAAACATTCTGGATAAATTAAATTACTGTCTAATATGTCTAGTAATTTCTAATATAACTAACAGGTAATTCAAAAAAATCTACAATAGAATACGTTACAATATAGGTACATACAGTAAAAGTTTTTTATTCGCTGATATTTGATTTGCGGATTGAAAATTTTTGATTGTTCACTTACAAGTAGTTTTCAAAATACCTTAAATACCTTAATTTATTACTTGTCTTATTGTCATTTAACCAAATGTTATTTGACATAAGCTGCAGTTACTTTATATAGACTGTTAGATTTTAAATAAATCATTCGGTATTTGAGAAAGATTTCCAAGGTGGAAATCGAAGCGTCAAATATAATGTATTTGCAATTAAAATTGTGGTTTATTCCTGTACATTTTGAGGCATTCGACTAACTCTTAAGTTCTTTTACTTTACGGGCTGGAGTCCCACAAGGATCAGTACTAACCCCACTGTTGTACATTATGTACAATAGTGAAAATTCGACCCAAAACATCCCAGGTACACGATCATTTCTCTACGCAGACAATACGACTTTGCTCACAGCAACGAAACAGTACCACCTTGAGAGAATCTTTAGAAGAGCACAATCTCTACTAAACTGTATCGGAGAATGGTGTAATAAGTAGAGAGTCAGTCTAAATACCAACAAAACACAGACTCTCGAGTTTTGCAGTCCAAAAATATCCTTTAAAGTTATTCGTTACAACGATGAAGGCTCAACGATGAATAGCAAGGCTCTCTATCAACCCGACAGCACCTGGGAGTCCGGTTTACCAGGACTCTGCTGGAATGTTGATCTAAAACAACTTTAGATAGGGTAAGATACAGAGATCGACTCTTCAATCTACTTGCAAGGAGAATTCATAGGACAAACATAAAGACTTCTATTTACTTACTTACAATTACTTGTACTTACAACACCTATATTCGACCCATTATAGAGTACAAATCAAACATCTACTGTCTCCTAAGTAGCTCACAAAAACTAAGACTTTAGAACCGAGCCTGTAATCATGCGTAAAGCAAACTACAAAACTTGCCGATTCCCCACCGGCGAAATCCATATTTCCAATGTCTCTACAATTATCAAAAAAATAAACTCTTTCAACAGGAACTTTACCCTAAAAGTCATAAACACGCTCCAACCACACTCCAACACCCAAGAAGCATTTAAAAGTTCCTGTTTTCTTACGGTAATGTACGATCCCGCAACTTCAAAAACAAAAAACCTCATCTTTCGCCCATTCTAATGTAATCATGCATTAACAAGCTTCGGGAGAGTACGCAGATATCCTTGAAGTTACACCGCTAGCTCTCCGTACCCTCATGTCCTAATACTTTTCATTGCCCCAAACAGGGCGAGATTGGTTTTTTGCGGTTACCCAATATTATTGCATAACGATAACAGACATACGCACATACTGGCTCGGCGACAAAGGGGACTGTTTTTCCTTAGATTACAGGGCCTGGACGTTAGCGCATAAAGTCAACAACATATGTTTAGTACAATACACTAATTCTGGAGTTGACTGGAAGCGTATAAACGGCTGCAGGAACAATAGCAACTAGAAAATACAGTCACAATCACCGTCTGGTCAACACACAACATATACACAAACGCACACGCAAACACCACACTGAAAGCTGACAAAGCTTGACCGTTAACGTGAACGGTCAGCAACAGAATTTTAGTGCAATACACTAGTTCTGGATTGAGATCGTATAAATGGCTGCAGGAAAAGTAGTAACGAGAAAACGCAGTCGATGTAACCACCAAATCAACACACAAACATATAAAACACTAAAAGAAACATCTAAAATCCAGTCAACCTCTCTCTTCTGATTCGACTACATCTTAACGGCCTCTACTTGTGGTTGACTACCACACGCACACGCCAACAAAACTACCCCAGTGGTACTTTCGAGCATTGATTTTGTACGACAAACAAAATTCAACAAAAAACCCTGAAGAGCATAAAGACTCCTATAAAGGGACAAGTCATGTTCAAACTCAATCTGATAAAGTTATCTAACCCTTTCCTAATGAACATTTTCAGTATCAAAACAAAATTGATATAACGTTATAGTACGGTAGTACGGTGCTTATATATATATATATATATATATATATATATATATATATATATATATATATATATATATATATATATATATATATAAGAGTCAAAAAATTTGTATGAGCACAATTTAACTTACTGTTACTATAATAAAACTCTTTTGTTATGAACGAAACGGTTATTCCGTACGTTCTATTTGGTAAGATGTTATTCTTGGTTTATATTATTTGTATGAGTATAACAAAGAGCGGAAGAAACTGTAGCTTAAACAGATGAGGCGATAGAAAAAAAACTATATTTGGATCCCCCTGTTTTCTCTAATAATATTATTAAAATTTTTTTTAATCTTTGTTGTACCATATCCATGTTATATCATATCCAAGTTATAATAGAATAAAGAGCTTTTACTGTACTTAAATAATTACATACACGAATTGAAACTGCTATTATGAGCAAAAAATCTTCGTACAATTAAAGATTTTCGCTAAAATCGGCAAAAAATATTTCAGGGCTAAATTTCAATCGATCTTCCACTGGTGAGACACGCACATCTTCATCTGTCTTGGAAAGCGGTTGCAAATAATCTGACATATTGAATGATTTATATAAAGTTGTTGGTTCTACTTCTAACATAATGTCATTTTCTGATTTCAAATTGGTAGGGTCCAGATGATTTGGGTCAGAATTAGTATCGTAGGCATCTTGGAATTCCATGTTACATATGTTATTTTGAGAAGTTTGTTCTTCTGGTTCATTACGAAGACAATTTAGTTCTTGAACCTCTCCCAATTTGCCGTCCTCGTCTATTACTTGGTACTGCAAACCTGCGGATTTAATTATTATTAGTATTTTATATCAAGTCAATTGATTATATTGAAAATAGTTTGATGAAACAAATCTAATTTAAACTAATATAATCTAAACGAATCGGCAATAAAAAAATGTTTTCTTTTGTTTTACAATCAAGTTAGCATCATCAGACCGACATACCTTGAATATGAACATTCTAGTCTTGCAGGACACTCTCACTCAAACATCATCTAAAAAATTCATCAAACAACAAGTCTTTTTAAAACCTTTTCCTCTTTTTACAACGGAAAATGGGCTTTTTTAGAAGTCGGGATTTTTTGGACTGAAACATACAAGACTGTCCACCCTAATATTGATCAGTATCCATTCAACTTAGTGAAAACACTAACACATTTAGATTTTTATTGCAAAGCGAACATATTTTAACGATATAGAGAGCTCTGCCATTTGTCAACACTACCTTCCCGTACCACAAATTAATGCCTTTGTTTTAGCAAAACATGGACAATAATTTCAAATTTTTTCCGTCACGTCAAAAACTATAGTAAAACGAAATGTTCTATACTAAATGGAAACTTTATTGAATGTAACGTAAATAAAATGGCCGTACCGGCTTCAGCTGGCGTACAGGAGGGATCCTTTAGTACTCTACACAAGACAAACTGAGCGGGGAGTCCTCAACTCCGACACGGCGCATCCCAATGGCTGATAGGGAAGTTGCAGGACAGGTACGAATAAGGCTTAGCCAAGTAAGTACCAGCGGATCAACTGAGGACATGACACAGGTTGGCAGCTGTGTCATTAGTGGCCCGTGTCAGAGGAATACAATTCTTGACAGGTGCGGTACTACAAAGTCGCAGGCGGAAATCAAGTTAATAAACCGGCTGTGATACTGCGAACACTCACGAACCCGTCTGGCAGGCGTGGTGTTTTAATGTCAATATACCCCTTAAAACCGCGATGTCTGGTTTTAAAACAAATACAGGTTTACCCCAGGTGAGTAGGATAAGTCTAAAATCTCACACTGATTTATCAGTCGTCCCAAGGATTCTTGGGGGGACAAAAAACTGACTATACGGAAACCCAAAAACCCCATAATTCTTTACGTTAGTACATACAATGCCCGAAGTCTACTGTCCGAGGAGAGATTCACAGAAATGGAAACTGAATTAAATAAAATTAAATGGAATGTCATAGGTATCAGCGAAGTTAGAGAGGTGAAACTTTGAAAACACTGAAATTAGGGCATATATTCTATCAGATTGGCCTTGAAACTACATCAGTTTAAGGCATCGGTTTCTTTGTCCATAAAAATCAAGCGAACAAGATAATAAACATCTACTCTCTTATTAATAAACACAGACTAACCTTGGACTAACATTAGTCCCAGGACTACACCAATAACATTCATTTTTCGTATTAATAAACAGCGACTAAGGACAGACTAAGCTAATCCTTCGCTAGTCTCGGACTAACATTTAATCCGAGGTAGTGGCAGGTTTAGAGAGTGACTAACTTGACATTGACATTGAGTTGAATTTCGTTTTGGTATTCATAACCTGAATTGTTTTTGATTATTTTATACATTATTTTATAACGGAAGATTATTTTATCAACGACTTAAGATTAATAGAACAACTTAATGACCATATAGAAATCAGCGAAATAATATTCATCTAAGACATATATTAAAATATATAAAATTAGAAAAAATCCTCTAGAAGAATTAGAAGAAAATGAATTTAAGTGCAAATATCGCTTTTCAAAAGCTACAGCAGTTTTTATAATATATATGCTTAGAGATGATTTATCTGGTTATTCCAGAGGTGGACATATACCTCCTCATTAAAAAGTTAAAAAATAATATAAAATATAAACAAACTTTCTCAGAACACAGTCCAACTAAAATTAACTCCACCTGCTCCAACTTATGCTAACTGTCAAATTCTCAATTATTTTTCTTCTTTTTCACAAAATTCTCTCGATTTTTCTTCTTTTTTTGCAATGGTTGCCAACATAAACTTGTTGTACCTAGGACTAAGGAAGGTTTAGTTAGTCTGAGCTTAGTCCATGTTTATTAATAACATTCTAAAAATGAAGCTAGTACTCGATTAATCTGGGACTAACTAGTCAGAGGCTAACTTCGGACTAAGCAATTTTTATTAATAAGACTGCTAAAGTATATCATCTACAGTGGCATATCTTATTCTGAAGCTGAACAGTAGATATGAACTCAAAATTATCCAAGTATACGCTCCAACAAGAGACCATACAGACGAAGAAATCGAAATATTTTATGACGATATATCTACGGCGCTTAATGACTATCATACTCAATTCACAATTTTATGTGGCGATTTCAACGAAAAAGTAGGTGTAAAAAAAGCAGAGCTAGAAACATCCTTGAGAAAATTCGATTTCCCAGAAAAAACTGACCGAGGAGAAACACTACTAGGATTCTTTACTCCAGAATAATTTATTTAACATTAACAGTTTATTTCACTAAAAGATCCACAGAAGATGAACCTGGGAAAGTCCAAACGGTAGAACAAGAAACGAAATCGACTACATAATAAATGACAAAAAATAAATAATTAAAGATGTAATAATACTCAACAAGTTCTCTATAAGCAGTGACCACAGAATAAAATGATCGAAAGTCCAAATCAACATAAAAAGAGAAAGGAACATAATGATTAAAAATAAATCTCATGGTATCTGGACATCCCCATTAGATATCAACCAATATCAGGCACAAATCAATAATAAGCTACTACTGCATGAAACCTCCGAGAACGATCTTAACGACTTGAATAGTTGCGTCATAAACGCCTTACAAGAAAGTTACCGAGTGCACTGTCCTAAAAGAAAATTAGATAGTAAAATAAGTCTAATAAGTCTGAAACGCTGCTGAACCAAAGAAGACAAATGAGATATTAACTCAAATGAGAAGCGATAAGAACGCAGACAGCCACACTCTAAGTGAAATGAATAAAGTTCTTTTCGAAGGCAATCAGGAGAAATTTAAGGAAATATTAAACGCACTATAGAGGAAAATAACAACCTAAAAGTTCTACATAGGAGGCTAACGAATGGAAAATGCGAAATTCATAAAATAAGTAACAAGCAAAATGAAATAATATCACGTAGAGACGAGTTAATACAGGTAGTCGAAGAGTATTACGATAAATTATATGGAAGTAGACGGGAAGATCTAACAGGAATACAAACAGCCATTTCAAAGAAGATTAGGAATCAACCGTTCCGAAGGAATATATTGCCAGAGATAAAGGTCGATGAGATTCGACAAGCATTAAGAAAAATGAAAAATAACAAAACCCCAGGTGAGGATGGGATTGTAATAGAATCTATCGTAAATGGAGGAGATATGCTAATAAATAAATTAAGGAAACTTTTTAATCTATGTTTGCAGCAAAGAGAGGTGCCTAAAGAATTGAACAATGATATAATCATACTTTTGTATAAAAAAGGAGATAGAACGGACCTAGAAAATTATAGACTTATTAGCCTGTTGAACCACATATTCAAGCTCTTCACTAGGTTAGTGACATCAAGATTGAAAAAAAAAAAGATTTCTACCAACCGAAAGAGCAAACAGGATTCTGTTCAAATTATGGTACCAATGATTACCTCCAGCCAGTAAAGACACTTATTGAAAAATGTATAGAATACAACAAACCACTTGTCCTCACTTTCATATATTTTCATATAGCCTTCGACACGATCGAAATAGACAGCCTTATAGAAGCAATGAATAACAGCAGGAGATTGACTATAGGTATAATGAACTTATTTACAATATTTACAAAAATCCCACTATGACTGTTAAAATATACGATAAAACCCGATCAATAAAAATAAAACCTACATAATACATAGGATAGGGATAAGACAAGGAGATACATTGTCACCGAAATTATTCATAACGGCATTAAAGTATGTCTTTAAGATGATCAATTGGGACCACAGAGGAGAGGTGAGAAGCTTAACCATCTTCGGTTCGCAGATGACATTGTCCTTATCAGAGATAATTTAGGAGAAGCCACAGATATGTTAAATGAATTGGACTTTGCATGTTCGAATGTGGGCCTCAGAATGAATTTGGTCCCAAATTACCATTTAACTATTCAAGACAAAGTGGTAGAACTGGTGGAGAAATATACGCATTTGGGTCATGAAATAAGAATTAGCAGGGATAATCAAACTTGCAAAATCCAAAGACGAATTACTTTAACGTGAACAGCCTTTGGAAAACTGCGAGAAACACTTAAGGCCAACATACCAATTAGCTTCAAAAGAAAAGTATTTGACCAAAGCGTATTACCGGTCATGACCTAAATCGTAAAGAATAGAGGAGTTTAAGGGAGGCCTATGTCCAGCAGTGGACGTGATAAATGAAGTCATGATTATAATGATGATAATGAAATCAAATGCACAACGCCGAGACCTGGACTCTGAAGGCTGATACGATCAATCGCCTAGAGACGTTTGAGATGTAGTTGCATAGAAGAATGCTTCGAATACCCTCGACAGCGATGCAGACCAATAAACCTGTGTTAAAAAGAGCAAATGCCGTTTGTGAGTTACTTAAAAACTATTAAAATAAGAAAAAATTGCGTATCATGAAAGGTAAAATCAACTTCAGTCAAAAAAGATTTATCTAGGTTATTAAAATAAAAAAGTTAAACAAAACATTTGCACAAAAAAGCAGCATTTTTATTAAAAATCCTTAATTATAAGCGAAAAACCAAAAAGTCAAAATCCTTCGAATAAAGTTTTATGAACACGCATTAAAAATATAGAAGATAAATCGCTGAAGATTGGAAATAGACTGGACATCAAGATAAAAAAGCAAGCGGAACATCATATAAAACAAGAAGTAGATTAGTAAAGGAAAAATAGCTACACCTGTATTTATCAGAAAACCTTTTGTGATAGTTCTATTATAGATAACAATATTAGTATTAATTTCCAAGTAAGAGTTAACAACGTTTATTCTGATTTTTATACTGCAGAAAACGGTACCCCACAAGGCTCAGTAATTAGTCCTACCCTATTCTTAGTTGCCATAAACAACATATTAAACAAATTACATAAACCTCTCAAAGCTCGCCTCTACGCCGACGATTTAGTGGTGTATATTAAAGGAGCACAAAAGGAATCTATGTGCAGAATAGTACAGACATTTCTAACCCAACTAGATGAATGGACGGCTAGTACGGGCTTCAAATTCTCCGTTACAAAGACAACTGGTGTGGTGTTCACGAAAAAATCGTCCATTACACCAGTCCTTTATCTTCACAACAGCATCATTCCATTCCAAAACTCCGTGAAATTCCTTGGTATGTGGCTGGATCAAAAACTTTCCTGGAAAAAGCACATACAACACTTGGCGATAACATGCAACAAAAGACTTAATTTGCTTAAAACCGTATCAAATCGTTTCTGGGGTTCTGACTTCTCTACACTACTCCTTCTGTATAAAAGACTAATTAGATCCAAACTCGATTACGGTTCAATAGTTTATGCCTCTGCAACCAAGAGTACCCTAAAACCGTTAGATACAATTCACAATGCCGCACTTCGGATCGTTCTCGGAGCTTTTCACACTTCACCCATAGAAAGCTTATATTCTGAAACTGGAGAACCATCATTGCAGTATAGGCGAGCACTTTTAACACTTTCACACGCTTCTTCTATGGCTGCTAATAAGGATCATCCACTCTTCGAAAATACTTTTTCTAAAAATAATCTTGACTTTCTATTTAATAAACCTCGTACTGGAAAACCTTATTACACACGAGTAAGATCAATTCTGAATAATTTTGATACAATAATCCCAAACGTATTTCAGTGTAACATCCAACATCCGGCTCCATGGTTAATAAGCATCCCAAATTGCAACACTTCTCTAATAGAGTTCTCCAAAAAATACAATAACAACATACTAATTAAAAACAAACTAAACGAGATTCTTGAACGAGACTACCTTAACTACGCAAATATCTTTACCGATGCCTCTAAATCTAATGATGGCATTGGTTGTGCATTTGTTACTCCAACGTCTACTTTCAAATTTAAACTACCGCCTAGCTCAAGTGTTTTTACCGCTGAATTGTTTGCTTTGTATCGTGCCCTAAAATATGCAAACCTCTTAAGAATTTCAAAACCGCTGTTTCTCACGGACTCGCTCAGCTCTCTTCTTGCAATACAGCATCTGTATCCTAAACAGCCCCTGGAGCAACTAATAAAAACTGAACTACAAATCGCCCAAGAGAACCACATAACCCCTAAATTTATATGGATCCCATCGCATATTGGAATTATCGGCAATGAAGAGGCAGACCGTAGTGCTCGTGATGCAGCAACAAGTGCGGAATCTGAATTAGTGCGTGACAGTGTATGTAAAGATCTCAAAACGTTTTTTAAACAAAAAGTGATTGGTCAGTGGCAGCGCGAATGGTTTCTATCGCAATCTAAATTAAGATCGCTAAAACCAGATACACGACAGTGGAAAACTAGTGCTAGTACACGGTTTATTCAAACGGTTCTAACGCGCCTACGTATAGGACACACTAAGATCACACACTCTTATTTACTTTCGGCCAGTGAACGCCCCCTGTGCGACCTATGTGCTACGCCTCTTACCGTCGCGCATTTATTAATTAAGTGTCCAAAATTCCATAGAGAACGTTTAATAAACAATATACCAAATACTCTACCAGATTTATTAGGAGAAAACTGTCCCGTAAAAAACTTATTAAATTACCTAAGGTCAATCAATATTTTGTATCAGATTTAATGTTTTATTTACTGAGTAATGCCGCTAATAACCTGTTGGTGGATGCGGCAATGTTTTCTTTTTAATAAAAAAAAAAATATTAGTATTAAACCTACTCACCCTCTTTTTGTAAACTCCGCAACACTTCATCCGTTACAGTAACAAAAGTCCCATCAGCAGTTTTGAACATGACCTCTACATTGGAGTTTGCTCGATTCTCCAGAACTTGCTTGATCTTGTTAGCAGTCCAACGCTGTTCTCCATTCTGCACAGTTAGTATTACGTCTGATTTATCAGTGGCTTTCGGCTCAAATTTTGGATTTAATTCATCCACGTCCAATGTGACGAAGTTTTTCCTATCTGCAGGTATGAAATTCTCTACAGTTGTCTCTGTATAAGAATCTTCAATAATGAAAATGGGAGGTTGAGGGGCTGAACTTATCTCTTTCTTCAAATTCGCAAGCGCTAATTTACTAGCTATGGCTTCTTTCATACAAGCCTGGTGTTCTGCATCTAAATACATTCTACGATTTACCTTCGGCATTGAATTTGAATTACTGATTGTGGAGTTGGTCGATTTCAAAATATTTACTGCAGAACTGGCAGGTTTAAAGGGAAAGGTCGGGTATTTTGGTTTGGCAGTTATGAAGATAGGTTTCGGTACATCTATTAAGGAATCTGGAAACAAGATTGTTTACTGTAAGTATGGAAGGAACAAGAATTATGTCAAGATATCTGAAACAAAAAAAGGAATATAAATGTCCATAAAGATAGTAATAAAAAAAGCTCAAGAGAAAAAAAAACACGAACCAGATATTGGTAATTGCAAAAAATGTGGAAAAAAAAAGATGAGGCAAACGTAAGAAGAATCGAGCTCCTACGATGGAAATGCCATTTATGTGTAGCAAAAAAGCTGAGGCTCCTATAGTTGGGCGTCAAATAAGTATAGCATAGCAAACTTTGGTGATGTTTGAGGCACACAAAATAAACGAGGACACATTGCTGTTATCTTCGGAACCTCTACTATCCCGTTCGGAAGCTTGGTCGGTACTTAACTGAATCTTTAGTCCCTTATAATGGCTTAGATAAGTCCCTTATAAAGCTGATCACTTTTGGCAGAAGTATTGGCATTCTTAGGTTCAACTAGATGTTCAGACTGTGTATGAGTTAGACTGTGTGAGTCAGACTGTGAGGAAGGAGAAAATGAAACATATATATATATATATATATATATATATATATATATAAATATATAAATATATATATATATATATATATATATATATATATATATATATAAATATATATATATATATATATATATATATATATATATATATATATATATATATATATATATATATATATATATATATATATATATATATATATATATATATATATATATATATATAGGTATATGTCCAAATGAAATATACAAAAGAAAAGTTATGAACAAATATATCCAATACTACTTCCCAATGAGCCATAAATTCTACTATATAAAATGTTATCACTTAAGATAACTGGTCTGAAGATATTTGAATTACAATTATGTCGGAGCAACTATTATAGATAACTTTTATTTTGTAAAATTTAAGGGCTTATTTTCAATATGACAGAAACCTTTGTGTAGAAATATATTGAATCTGCAGTTCCTTTGTAAAATAGTTTATGCCTACATCTACTTACAAATATTGAACCCTCTTATAATAGGATATAACAGAACAGTTGCATTTTTTTAATTGTAATTAAGCACAATCCACTATTTTTCATACCAGGTGCTGTGACATGTAATCTTATTTAAGGTAAAATACATTTCTTAAATTTCAAGGACTTTAAAATCTATTTGTGAGATTGATCTAAACATCAAATGAGTCTTCTGGACTACTCTTTTTTAACAAGTCTAAGAGGACATAAGTACTCATAAACTGTTTTATAACTTGGTTCTTAGATGATAAATAACTGACAGCTATACTTATAACAATATCAATTAAAGTAATATACAAAAAATATAAATACCTGAGAATTCATAGTTGAGTGGAATATGCAATGAATCAATATGAAGCATTTTAGCCATAGCAATAAAATTACTGGCATTAGCTTCACTCACACACGTTTCTCCATCATACATGAATTTCACCAAAGCTTTAATTATTTTGAAATCACAACCTGAAAATATAACCTGCTCTATGTTGGGATTTTGCTCAAACTCAGTCTACAAAAAATAATATGTTTAAATACTTAGTATAACTGGGACATACAATATTTCACCAGATTATGTAGATAGCTCATCAATATTAATAGGAATGGGAGACATTTCAATATACTATTAATTTACATAAGTGTTAAAGTTTTCAAGTAGAAATACTACTCATAGAAAGCATAATAGTTAAATTGGAAAAGGAACACTTGTAAAATTAGTTTTGCATATAAAAATAAATTAAATACTTACTGATTTTAAACACTCACCCTAAATAGCTTACTGTGGCATGCTAACACAATTTTATGTGCATGAAGGCAATTATTACCACAACACAGGAGGATATCCACTAAACTCTGGTGTTCAATTAGGTTGCATAGTCCTGCTGTCGTTTGTAAGCAATGTTGGTCGGATTGAATTACATAAGAACATTTTTGAGCTGTACTTTCATCCATTTCAGAAGATACTAGAAAGTTTCAAATTATTTCAACAAAACCTAAAAACTTATTTTCTATAGGTAGGCAACAATTATGTAACTTATAAATAACCTACTTTTCCAAGTTAAAAGACAAAAAACAGACAATTTGTAATAATATGAACAAGACAAAACAATTTATACATGCAACTAATTATGGTTATAATTAATGTTAAATTACCATCTCAATAGTTAGAAAGAGTCAATTTAATTTATTTTATGCCAACAAGTAGGTATATTCGAGTAATAAAATGTATACTAAAATTACCAAAATTCAACAAAAATTACCTGTGTAAGTTGGTTTTCTCCAGATTCAAATTTCTGACAAATTCAAAATAAATAAGAGAGAGCGCAGATTGAGTGATCAATGTAACAGATTACTTTATAACAGTTAAAAATAACATACAATATAATATAAAAGGTGCGAACAACATAATAAATACAAGATATATCAAGGAATATACTAAACAGCACATAGTAAAAAAGTATACACATATTTTGTATAATTTATTAGGGTCATTATACTAAAAATGGTAATGATTTCTTTACCTATAAAAAGTTTTTAAACTCCATCTCTTTTAAGTGTAGTTTAAGGAGATTGACATAGATGGCAGTGGAGTCTATAGAAAACAATTTAGGGGAAATCACTTTTTAAAATAATTTTAAATATTTTGTGTATTAATATGATTATATTGTAATGAGTAAGTAAATAGAAGTATTAAAATATTGCCTAACCTTCCATTATATTTAAATACTAAGTACCACTGTTTTATTGATTGCATATTTGTGGGGAAAAGCACATATTATGGACATTTCGAAACATTCCAAATAATATCAAAAATCTTTATTACAAAGATAAATTAACATTTCTATGAACAAATTCTTTATAGGTACATCAAATAGTTATCACAATATATTATTTAAACATTAAAAATCAGTCTGGCTTCACGTACATCTCATTCGTTTACGATTCTTTTTGAAATCTTTACACTTCGGGGTGGTAAATGTTACAAAAGTGTCATGAGAAGATTTCACTTTCTCGGCGGAGACTTTTTTGACGCTGACTTTGTAGCGACAGTTAAATTGTAGATCGAAGAGATCGAAATATGTAGCCTAAAAAAGAAAACTGTTTATTATATAAAAACTTGTTAATTATTTCCTATCCTACCGCATACAAATACTGCGCAAATAATGTTCGTGAACGCAACAGTTAAAAAGTTAGTCTAATTGTTTACAAGCAAAAAATCAACAAGTATGTGCAAAATATTTTGTAATATTTAAAATCGTTTTCTTTATCTTTTTTTAATTATATCTTATATTTTCTTCTTTCATAAGCCACATCTATTTATAGAATTATTCGCGAGGAACCGCAAAGTGGGCGACGCCTGGTGGTAGATTTCAAAAGCATCCACTTCGGGAAAACCTTGAAATTGCCATTATTTTGTGTACATATTAGCGACCGGTTTATACTGTAATTTAACAATGACTTCGACTTCAAAAAACTATTGCAGTGTTCCTCAATGTTCATCCTATTATAATTCACAGAACATTCCATACATAAGTTTCCGCTGAACGAAAATATGAGAAAAGTTTGGCAATGCATTTTGCGAATAGGCAAACCTATAACAAAGTTCATGACTGTGTGCAGTTTACATTTTACTGAGAATGATTACTTTCTATTGTTGATTAAAACATTATTTATATTTTAATATATTTATGCTTAATTTACTTTATAGTAACACCTGAAACTAAATTGAGAAGACTGAAGATAAATGCTGTTCCATCAGCTAAATTGCCCCAACGGTCTCATGAAGTTATTAGCAGAAAACGTAAGGCATATTTTACAAAATATAACGTGGTCAGCTCCAAAAACTGCCTCACCCCAACTAAAGATCTCTGCCGATCTTGCAACATTTAATTTTATTTTTATTCAGGTTTGGGAGTCAATTACCTTATGTATAAACTCGAATCACAAACAAATAAACTTTGAAGAACGTATTTCAACTTACTTAACTTACTTACTTTGGCAAAACACACGTGTAAATGATTTTAAACGTTTTATAGCCTCGAGATCAAATGACAAAATGATTTGTTTTCCCGAAGTTATCGCCCATCTTTGAAATCCTCAGCGCCCCCTGTCGGAATTGGCTATCGCGAATTGTCATCATCATCATCATCATCATCTTGTTGCTACAGCCCTTAGAGGGCCTCGACCTTCTCAAGCTTTCTACGCCATTCTGTTCTATCCCTTGCTTGAATTTTCCAGTTGCCGACTCCGATCTTCTCCGCATCTTGTGTTACCCCATCCATCCACCTCAGCTTTGGTCTACCCCGTCGTCTCATTCCCACAGGTTGCGCTGTTAGAATCTTTTTTATCATGGCGAATCATCGCGAATTGTAACTTTATCATTTTCTGACTTATATTGTTGTAAAAAATTTAATTTGGTAGGTACAAACAAATAAAATAACTTTTAAACTATGTGACCGATCGCTTTGAAATTAAGATTATATTTAAAGCACAACAAGACCCAACATTCCATGTAATACGAAGCTTCTCTACTTATTTTCAAATAAGCTGACTTATTTTGCTAATTTGGTGCTTTCTAAGCAACAAATAAAGACAAAAACATTTAAAAAACGCTATATTGAAGATTTTTAGGTATACAATTTATAACACTATTAGATACTCTTAAATTTGTTTCAAAATGCTTCGTGGTAGTGTAGCTTCATGGTTTTGTTGGTATACAAAATTAGTGCACACTCACCGTTTTTTGACCTTAGTTTGTTAATAATTAATTAAGTTCAAAAAATCGACTACACGAAACATAGGTTCTTGTTACAGAGATATATTCTACAAACTTAGAAGATGAATTAATGAATCTAAAATTGATATTTCGATGATACATCAATATATTTTACCTTAGTCATAGCGGCAACTTTAAAATGCTTGAACGTATTTATCCTGCCATCGCACGGTGTAGACCACCAAGTGACAGTATATTTCGCATATTCTTCTGAAGGATTCCATACTATTCTAGCTTTCAGATTTCCCTTGTTCCATGTAATTCTTAGCAATCGAAGCCCTTCTATTCTGTTGGAGTTGGTTCGTTCCAAATCTAGCGTGTTATCGTTTTCTACAAAAAAATATATTTAAGTAATTCAGAGATATACTTAATAAAAAGTATTATGTAATTTTAAGAAAATAGTTCTTTCAGTATCTAGAGTTCCTACAGAAAAAACATAGAAGAAGTTAAGGACATCTACCTATAACACAAGAGAAATTATGTAAGACAGTTAACACAACAAACCCAGCAGGAATCCTGACAAACATTTATTTTTAATATAGAACGCCATATGACACATGATATAATGGAGGACAGACATTAGCATATAAAGTCGTGGTGGGTCATATGAACTAGATAAACATATGTAGCAAACATAATAAATGAGTTACCATAAAGATACCACTCCTCTGGTATAAATAAGAAGAAATTAGAAATAATAGCACATCGTAGATGACAACAGCAAAAACGAAAAAATTTATGAAATACCTAATAATGAATTTGTTACTTCATTGAACATGAACTACAAACTAGACTTATTAACATCAAAAATAAAAAGGGCTGTAGTAATTCATGTAATAAACACACAACTAATTAAATATGTAAGAACTTTCTTCTCAACATTTTTAATATGTTCCAAAGAAAATAAAATTAAAGGTACATAAATAAAATTAAAAGTCCAATAAATATAGAAAATAAAATTAAAGGTACATAAAAAATAGCGGAAATCATCTCTCTATTTAAAAAGGGCAACAGAAGTGACTGTCGAAAATACAGTAGCAATAATTTACTAAATTCCACTTATAGAATATATGCAAAATCACAAAAAATACACAACGGCCCATAGAAAATTGAAGATAATTTAACATTGAAATCAATTAAGCGTTTGAAAAAGCGTTTGACTGAGTAAACCGATGCAAGATCTGTCAAATAAAAATAGTCATGAACACTGGCGAGAAAAGGACAAAAAATGAAAGTAACCACAATTTATTAGTGAGGCAAAACTGCTACCTTTCTTCCACTCTCTTTAAAAAATCTTAAAAATCTAATAAGTACACAAAAGTTCTGTTATTGAAAAAATTCCTGTACATTAATTTTCAAGTAATAGGTATTCTAAATCATGGATGTATCTAACATTATTAAAAATTTAATTTCAAGTAAATTAATTTTTTGTTTGGTCTTAAGTTCAAGACCAATTTAGCCAGACAATATAGGTTGAATACATAAAAAAATCTTCTACACTTCCTTAAAATTCATGACAATTTCCTCACCGTTCGTTCATTTGCACCACATTCTCTTAATTTCCTAACCTTTCCATTGAAAACACTATTGGGTGACTATACAAAAAGGATTGAACGGGAACACACCCTTCACGATAAGGTGCCCTTCATAGCGACTTTTTTTTTAACACAAACAATACAGGCAACGGTTAAAGGTAAATGACATAAAAGGAAAGACAATGGAAAATACAACAACTAACGTCCTACCATTTCGGATTCACACAACAACACTGAAAAGGACAGTTTAGATTTTTCGTTTGGTACGTTTGAAAAATGTCCATAAAATTGATTTAATAGTTGAATTTCGACTACCTAAATAGAGAATAGAAGCAACGTTCTGCGGCAGAATGATGTTTTGTTAGGAGATAGCTTGAAATAAAAATCTTATGGCTTCTTGATTATACCGAAATTAAAACATCCAGTGGTTAAGGTCGTCATAACTGCCATTACATTCACATATATCAGTTTCGGAAAGTTTAATTTTATATAAGTAAGCATTTACTGTAGCATGTCCAAAAAGGCATCTAACGTACATAGTGTAAATTTTCCGAGAGATGGGACTTCTGTCACTTGGAGGAGTAGATGGAAGAGTTGGATATATACTGCAGTATGTATTTTTGCTACTGTTAGTAAAGGATTGCCACTTAATTTTCCAATTAAGTCTAACATGTTTCTTCCTAGCTGAAACTATATCCCTTTTGGGTAACTCGTTGTACTCTATACCCACTAAAGTAGCATCTTTAGCCAAATGGTCTACTTTTTCATTGCCTGGAATATTAGAGTGACCTTTAACCCACACAAAGTTAACAATTCTTTTTAGAGAAGTTAAGATTCTTAGCTTTTCAAGCGCATCTACAATTAGTCTGTTGGTATATATGTGTTTAGAGAAGTGTCTTAATACGAGGAGGACGGACTGTGAGTCAGATAAAATTATATATCGTTCGAAATATAATGTGCTATTAATTATCCAATCCAACGCCTTGACAATGG